TGGATAGCTTTGCTTGAGAGACTGGAAACATGAGTTGTGGCCTCGGGGTCATGTGGTGTCCAGTCTCTGTTGACAGCGAGCTGGGCAGGGTGAACTATTCACTGCGTTGGGTCACTCTCCTCCTCCCGCTCCTCCTCTCTCTCCTTCTGTTCTCCCAAACATTTTGTGAATAGGTGATCCATTAACAGAAAAGGACCAGCGGAATAGTGTTGATGGTATCAAGAGCGCTGTCCTCCCTACTTCTCCATTTCCCCTGCCTTTTCTCTCTTCTTCTCTGTGAGGGTGACAGACAAGGACTGTCTGTATTTTTGTCAGTGTGTGTCTTGTTTCTCTTCTGTCCCTTTCTTTTTTATGTGTGTGTATTTTATCGTGAACAGGACTGCAAATCAGTCTTCAGTCTATCCATTTTATCTCCTGATATATGGCAGTAGTGTGGACGTGCACCACATGTGAATTTATTTAAAAAATCTAGGGAATAGTACCCACATATATTCATATTTATAATAAATTACTGTAATTGGCATGATTTAAAAGATATTATACGCCCAAATATGGTGTCAAAATAATTTCTGATCTGCTAAGGGGCACCCTGTCATTTGTGTGTGGAGTGTTTGCGTCTTTGTTTCTCTTTTTCTCTCCTGTTGTCCTGTCATGGTCCTCGGGTTTGTTTGTAGTAACCACAACACAGGCTCTATTTCATCCCCTGGCCCTTTTATAAACCACTGTCCTCTCTCTACTTAGTGTAAGCTATGAACCTCTTGGCACAATGCCATCACAATCCATTCAGTACAGGTTGGTGGGACCACGCCGTCGCGGCTATATCCCAGAGTGCATCCTGTCCTTTCCAGCAGCTCCCATTTGTACAGTAAAATGGCAAAATGGCCACTTCACAGATCCCCCCCACCCCTCCACCCCCTTCACCACATTGTGTCCACATGATACACTGATAGTTACTCTGTGGGCGTGCGTGAGTCTGTGTGTGTGTGTGTGTGTGTGTGTGTTATAATGGGCATGTGGGAACATGTCAACGTGTGAACATGTGTGTATGTGTGTGTGTGTGCTGCACATGGCCACAAATCCAGGGCATGTGGAGGTTTCTGGTGGGAACGTATGACTCAATATCAAGTGTTTTATTCCCAGGTGAAACAGCCACTACCTGAAATATGTGATATACTTACCATACCTTTTTTTAAAGGATAACAGGTCATGCTAGTCCCCCAACAGGACTCTACTCTTACTGTAACTTTCTTTAAGCTGGACACCTATGTTTCATTTCATCTTATTATATAATTAGCTGTACACAGGTTAATTGGGAAAATTAGTGTTTTCCTGCTTTTTTTCTGTCTTGCATGTTCCTCATCACACTTCCACTCCAGTTTTATGAGACGTAATGGCTTCCATATCCAACGCCGAATGATCCCCACCTCTCGCCAAGTGAAACCATTGGCAGTGAGCTGGGAAATGGCTGCTAACGTTTTAATGACTTAATGAGACCTAATTAGTTGAAATGGGAGCAAGGAAGAGAGGAGCAGTGGAGGTGATCTGTGTCAGTGTGTGTGTGCTCGCACGCTTATACACTGATGTTTCTGTTCCCACATGAGTGTGAGTGTGTTTTAGTTTTCTTTACATGTGTGTTTCTATGTGTCTCTTGGTGCATGCATGTTTATGTTGTCTCCATGGCAGGTTTGTGTGTGTGTGTGTGTGTGTGTGTGTGTGTGTGTGTGTGTGTATATGCCACAGCGCGGCGCAGCCTTTCTCAGCATTACCCAGCCTCTTCATCAGGAAGTGATGGTGGGGGGTCAGGCCTCATTTAATCAAGGAAAAAATTCCATCTCCCATTAACTTAATTAATCCAACGCTGGAGAAAGAGAAGCTGAAAGAAACCTGACCGTGTGTGTATGTGTGTGTGCTAATGTAAGTATGTGAGAAAATAGTGTTTCTATGCTGGATGCATGAAGAGGTTTGTCAAATGACCTATAGAAAGGAAGTTTAAATGATATTACTGCGCAGGTACAGTAATGACTTCATAAAAAAGACATTTAAATTGGCTTAACCTTAATTTATATTTGTCAGCTATATATGAACCCCAGTTGTAGGCAGAAGTAAACAATCTAACATTACTGTGGTGACACCTCACTTGTGTAACTCTGTGTATAACATTGTAATGTATGCAAATTATTTCACCTCTTTGCCAAGAGCTCTGTCCAAGAGATTCAGTAGAGCTTTTTATTTTTAATAAATAAAAATAAAGGATATCATTTTAAAAATGTAAACTTTAAAAAGAAATGTAGTCCAGTTTTGACAGATGGCTGGAAGTCTTTTCTCGGCTGTGCTGCTCCACCAAGAAACAGACACTCTGGAAAAGAGTAGATTATATATTTTTTATTAGGTGATGGATTTCTTCTGATTGCATTGCAAGAAAGCGTAGTGTGATGATTTAAATCATAAGCTAGCAAGTAATTCCTGCTGGGTTTAATTGCTGCACTGCACTTTTACATCCAGACTGTGGAGGTCAAACAGAAGTGATAGGTTAATGTTGTTTTTTTCCCCAAAGGCTGCCGAAGCTAATTTGAAACTAGCGAGGGTTGTGACTGCAAAACCTCCCCATTCACACAGACTACTTACATCTGATGACTGGCAACAACCCAAACATCTCTGCTTCACTGTCAGTGATAATGTGTTCAGTTGAATTCTGACACCGCAGTAATTGTGGCTACACTTGAGAGCTCAACACATAAGTCAGCCACCAGGTTTGTCTATAGGGGTGGTCAGACAGTAAGAGTACAGAGGTTTTAAAAGCAATATGAGGGAACTCACTTCAAAGCTTAGAAGGTGCTAAATTGGTAGAAGTACTTTAGTCACATAAATGAAAATGAAATCCAAGGAATTTTAAAAATCCTGACGACATACAGTATCTCAAATAGAATTACCCAACAGCAAGGATGGATTACTGTACAGGCCTACCAGGCACAGGCCCAGGAGCCTTAGGTGTCAGGACATACTGACCACAAAAAGACACAAAGACATGCAAAGGAACCACAAAGAGACACAAAACCACAAGAAAATGTTCTGAGTTACTATGACAAGCAGATCCTAAACAAAAAAAGAGACAAAATTACCACAAAGTCTGTATTTCAAACCTCGATGTAGGACATCACCCATTGGTTTATGGACTTTTGACGCCTCAAGTTCAGCATTACAGCTGTCACCATCTCGTTTTTGGGGCCAAGAGTGACAATATTTGGGCAAGAGGCTAGAAATGTGGAGGAGCGAGGGGTGGATCTGATTGTGAAGCTGAGGACACTATCGGCAGACAGTCTGTTACTAAAGTGGCCCGCCCTTAATTAAACTTAATAAAATAAATGGGCAAGTTATATAAAAATTCACCCTCCTGTAGAGTTGTCATGAAGAAAGAAATGAGCTATAGAGACCAAAACCGTTTTTGTACCAGGCTGTAAACATATTTATTTCTGCTGTTAGTCAGACGTTTGAACATGGGAGTCTATGGTGATTGACTGGCCTCTGGAGCCAGCCTCAAGCAGCCGTTCAAAGAGCGGCAGTTTTTGGCACTTCTGTGTTGGCTCCAGTTTTCAGCCCCGGAGGTTGCTGCTTTATTTGTACCCAGGGGCCCACTGTCTCATAATTCACCCATGCCCAATGGGGATATGATGAATGTCTCATCACAATTGCCACTTGTTGTACCTAAAGGTCTGACTGTAGCTCTTTAAAAAGTTTGATTCTCACTTCTTCTTTTATAAAATACAAGCATGAAAATGCAGTTACATTTCACCCAAGCACAAAGTGACTCACATTCAATAAGCTCCATTTTACAGCACTTCTCTGGTTGTTTGTAACTTTATTGTCCATTTACAAAGAAGAAAACATTCTCCAGCCTCCCCCAGATTACACAACAGATGTTAATGCACACATTAAAGGCATCAACAATAGATCATCGGTAGGATGTGTAGTATAGTGAAGTAGAGCTATTATTGCCCCTTACTTTACATGTTTTTACTTTATTTGTGTCATGCCATTCAGCCTGCTCATAAAAGATAATGAACTGTCGTCGTGTCAGTCAGGGTTTGAAGTCTTCAGTTCTTTTTATCTCATATCTCCGTCTCTCTCTTGATCTTTCCCCTCTACTTTGTTCATCAACTCCCTTTTCTCCTAAGATTCTTTTTTCATCCTTTTCTTCTTTCACCTTGTTCTTTAATAGCAGTGTTAAAACTGTTTTGCAGCACTTACTGTTATAAATACAAGATAATATAAACTGTGTGGGTGAGAGACATTAATGTAACGACTGGAGAAAACTGTGTGTCAGAACATACACAACATGACTATGAATCATTTGCAACTTTCTTTCAAAATTATGTTTCCTAATGATAAATAAAAATGAAGTTTTAGCACGGTAATATTCCTGTGATTAGACAACAACATCTCCTTTGACTGGAGTTTGTGTAGCACTCTGCCGCTCATCTCACACCAGCTCATCAACCTCTCACTCCAGGACTTCCTCTCTCTCCCACTGACTTTAATGTCCTGCTGCTGACATACAAATCCCTTTGTGCCTCTGCGCCCAATTCATTTTCAGAGCTCCTCCTCTTCCTCTGACTCTGGCCTCCTGTCTGTCCCCAAAACACCCTGCCTCTGGAATGCACTGCCCCTCTCCATCTGTCTTGCCAACACTATTGATTCCATTGAAATTATGTTATAAGATGACAAATTGCGAAACGCTGAAATTGATAAAGTGGACAAAAAAAATGACAAATGACGCAGATGTCTGAATAATTGGATCAATGAAGAAGAAAAGTACAATATTTAATTTATAGCTGATGTGTGATAGTGATCACAGAGCAATATAAAGGTTCCTCCAGAGGGTTGCAGCGAGGATCTGTATATATTGTGCACACATTACTCTGATGAATAGATGGTTAAAAATTAAGGATCATATTTAAAAAACAAGATGAACTTAATCAAACTTTTCCCTTTGTCCCAAACAGAAAAGCCTGTTTCCGTGGAGCTGAGCTGCGGGGCTGGGCCCAGCCATGTAGTGTTGGAGCCAGGTTTGCCCCTCTTGCTGGACTGCAACCTTGGGGCCAGCGATACACCCTTCAATGTCACCTGGCTTCAAAATGGCCAGCCTTTGCCTCCGGAGGGGGGCGACTTCCTGCAGTATTTGGCCAACGCATCCCTCCTCCTGCTGCCGACCTCTAAGGATGGCCAGCCTGCCCACGGTGTAGAGGGGGGCTACAGCTGCATGAGTGCCAGCGCCATTGGAGCACTGACCAGCCGGACTGTAAATGTTCTCCTAGCAAGTAGGTGTCCAGCAGATAGATTTGCAACTCCAGCAGGGCTCTAGCACTCTAATGCCCAAGTATAGCATTTGTTTTGATTAAATGAATGAATCAGAATGTATGCAAATTAAAGCATATGTGCACATGTAGGGCCCCAGGTTAGCTGGAGGCTCAACATTGTGTTTAGGTGCAATACGAGTAGTATATTCTGTCTTTCTGCGGCCCTGATAGACTGGAGATTTGTCTATACTTTATCCTACCTTTTGCCTAATGCATGCTGGGATAAGCCTCAATTCTAAAGTGTAATAAGTTCATGGATAGAGAAAATAAATAGGAATGGATGGAGTAAAAGTAAAACTCAGTAATTTGATTGATCAGGTGATCAACAGAAAATTAATCGGTAACAATTCTGATCAATCATTTTAGTCATTTTTTTTAAGTAAAAATGACATAAATTTACTGTTTGCAGCTTCTCAGATGCAGACTTTTGCTGCTTTTGGAGTCTGCTATGATAGTGGTTTGCATATCTTTGGATTTTTCTACTCTTCGTTGTGCAAAATGAGACATTTGGAGATGTTGCCTCGGGCTGTGGGAAACTGTGATGGATATGTTAAGCTATTTCCTGATGTTTTATTCCTAATCATGAGGTTAGATTGTAGCATGAAACCAATATTATGAAGGCCTGAAAAACTATGATCATATCATATGAAAATACTGTATGCTACTGCATGTTACTTCATTGTCATTGTACATGTGGTGTTGTGTCTAGGGGCAGACAAAATGCTACAAACTGCAGGAGGAGTATGATGTAATGGAGGAATATTGGTTTGATTCATTCATCCATTTAAAGCATTCAGCTGGGTATACACACAGGGAGGGAGAGAGAGAGAGAGAGAGAGAGAGAGAGAGAGCAATGTGATTTGTCAGATTTGTCGGGGGAATTTCCCTGCATGGATGGAGATGAACTTGGTTTTCCTCTGCCTCAGATAGCAGACTTATTCTCTGGTGGAGCGCTAACAAGTGTCCTGGGAACAGGTACACTTTTAAACAACAGTCTGTTAAAAGGCATAGAGAGAAGGAGGCCGAGTGGGTTGAAATAAAAAAATGAACAGGGAGATGTAGGTGGGAGGGCCGAGAGGACAGGCTGTAGCTTTTTAATCGCCCTTCCAAGGAGGCCTCTTTCTCTCACACTCTTAAGTGGTAGTCTTTATTTAGTCATTAGCTTTGTGTAAAATGAGACTGTATCCTTTGTGGATGCCCCTGCTTTTGTCAGCTGTCACATGCCTATTTATGAGGATCCCTTGTTTAAGGGACAATAAGGCGTAAAGGAGGGGTAGGGGGTGTGTGTGGGATGAATGGTGAGACGGCAGAAAAGGCTAAAGAGAGTTTGCGGTGATGGTGAAAGGAAAAGCTTCAGAGACCATTAAGAATGACCTTCAGTTTGCATATGTGTGTATACGCCCAGGCATGTGTGTGTGTGGCTTTTGAATTAAATCAGCGGCGAGAGGCTATGAGATAGATGTGACCAGTGCGCAGGAGGTCGAAGCCGAAACTGCCTCAACATTGACATTGAGCGGACATTCCCATTTCCTACTGCGTCTTCGCCAGCAGAAATGAGACTGAAGAGAGAACGTAGCAGAGATCACATCTGTGAAAACACATTACGAAACCCACCTGCTCCAGTTTCCCTGTCGCAGTACATGATGCATGTGGCCTTGTCTAAAAGCATGTGAATGTGTTGGAAGGGGAGAGACGCAGTGAAAGAGACCTGCCTTCTCCTTGGATACAGATAAACAGTATTTTGGTCTGTACCTCACTTTTCTCTCGGCAGAATGCCAGAGGCGGCATACAGTGCGCGCATTACATTTCCCAAACACATCCACGGGTAAATGATGATGCAGGGGGAAAAAAAAGCAGCTTTTAATGTTAATTAGACCAATTAACCTTTCTCATTATGAGACTGCTGAGGTGAATGTCAATATTTCCTAATTCCTACCAGCTTTTGCAAACCCATTACAGTCAAAAAGCCGATGTCATAATCATAAAAAGTGTGCTCTCTCCTCCATACAAACAAGCTGTGTGCACTTAATACGTTTGCATTTTTGCTCTTCATTTACAAAGAATGTGGTAGAAAAGTACATTTTATTTATTTTTTTAGGCTTTAGAGATATTTTGTACACATTTTTATGCATGCATGTTGATTTAATCACAGAACCTCTTTATTTTCAACTCACATGAGAGTCATGTGATTTTAGTAAATTGTAATTTTGAGGCAGCTTGATATTAATGCATGCAATCATCATCACTCTCAAAATGTACATCTCTATGCACTCCATGCCTTTGAAAAAATGAAAAGGGGACGAGGAGAATCACTTCAAGATGAGCGATGGTAGTCCAAGCACATCTAACACTAATTTCCAGGCTCAAGCATTTATTTCCAAAAAAAAAAAAAAAAAAAGTTCCACAGAGTATAAATGGTTTCCTTTTGTCAGTGTTGCTGTGTGACAGGTCATTCCTGCATGAATGCCAAACCTGACAGAACTGAACACCTTTATAAAGCTTAAAAGGGCAGCATACTGTAAATAGGAAATTAAAATTTCATACTGCACATATTTCCCAGTTGCTATTACAAATATCTGTTGAGGCTGGGGGAATGCTTGATGGGTTTTCACACTGTTAGTCAGCCTGAAAGCTGGGTAGCAGAGAGGTCACGGGTGGAATTATCTGCTTGCACAAGGGGAGGGGAAAAATGCTGCAATCTGATAGCTGTGGAGCCAAAGAGTGGGGCATAGATAGGGGGACAGACAAAGACAGAGAAAGAGTCCAGGGTAAAGTCAAGGGCAGGAGAGAGAGAGAGGGAAGCAGTGAAAAAAGACGAACAAGAGAGAGCAAAGAAAGACGAGATGGGGACTTTTTATTTAGTGCATTGAAGGGTTACACACTTCTCATAGAGCAGTGCCCAAGGAGCTGCCTGAGAATGTTTTTTTTTAAAAAAAAAACAAAAAAAAACATAGAGAGACCTTGTTGCTAGGAAACAATTGGACATATTTTTTGACCCTGTGGCTGTATATGTCACCTTTTGTTGGGGGTGTTATTCTGAAAAATGCCATGGTGCCAGGTGCGTCTGTCATGGAATTTCATTGCGAGGGACACTCATGGAGTCCTGGGAAAAGACTAATATGATTATGCTTTGACAGAGCGGAGGTGGAAGCCCAGCCAGTCGCCATTGTTCCATCACAGCACAGGAAAAGTGTCTTCTCTGAGCACCCTCCTCCCCCTTTTGCATTAAAGTGTGCTCATGTGCACTCTCGCTGATCAGCTGTTGTTCACCACTCACATACAGACACCCCCCCACCGACACTCATGCACATACGTAGATGCACACAGTGATCCAGTAATGAAATCACAAGCAGTCCGTGCACAGGCATCAAGGCGCAAGCTGGAGCACTAGAGTAAACACTGAGGTACAAGTAGTTTGCACTCAAGTTAACACACATGCAGTGAGTCTGGCAGTGCTCTTTGGCAGTGTCACAGGTGGAATGTTTACATGAGGGCATCATGCTGTGTAATGGCTGGAAGTAGAAGGGTTTAATGATCAACTCCTGCAAAGCTCGCTATGCAACAGTCATTGCAAGTGTTTCTAAAATGAATCAAATGCTTTCTGCTACTACGGCCAAGCAAGTGTGTGTGCCTCTGTGTACTCATTGAGAAACTTTGTTCCCTCAGCGCGGTAGGAAAACACAGATGGCCAGTTTGTTGCCATGACTAACAGTTGGTGTGATAGGGGTTAGGGTAATCTCGGAAAGTCCTCCCAGTGTCTCATCAAGCTTGCAGTGGTTTCTGGAGGAAATCTTGTCCAATAAATTGGGGTAGCTTGAAATTCGAGAGGCTGCCATGTGATTGGCTGCAAGTTTGAAAACGCCCAGAAACAGAAACAAGTTTGGAAGCTAGTGTGAGGATCTTCACTCAGTCCTCCCTCCCAAAGTTTTGCTTGTCTTAACTCAGGAACATCCCTGTCTCTACTCTAATGCAGCTTTTTAGCCATGCTAGCTGCGGCTTTATGGATGGCAATGTTGGCCTAGTGGCCTGTAAGTCCACCAATAACAACTATTGGATGGATTGCTATGATTTTTTTTACATACAGAGGATGAATAATACTGACTTTGGTAATTACTTGACTCGACCTCTAATGACACCAATAGAATGCATGCAATTTGTGTTTTTAGTGAAATATCTCGATGAGTATTTGGTGGTTTGCTGACTTTTCATCGCGCCACCAGCGGGTAAAAAGTTCTCAAAATCTGCTAGATGGACTGGCACAAAACTGTGTATGGACATTCATGATTTCCAGATGATCTATCCTAATGACTCCGGTGATTCCCTGACATGACATTTCCTCTAGCGCCACAATTAGGCTGAACATTTGTGGTTTTGAGTTTAATGGTCCTGTGTGTATGGTTTAAGAGCATCTTGTGAGAAGGTTGCACACTGCAAACAACTGAAACCTCTCCCATCACTGTGTGCCAAACATGTAAAAGAACTATGATGGCCAACTCTAGAGCCAGTGTTTGGGTTGTCTGTTTTGGGCTAATGTAGAAGCAACATGGCAGACCTTGTGGAAGAGGACCAGCTCTGTATGTAGATATGGCTCATTCTAAGGTAATGAAAACACACATTTTTTTTAGTTTCTGGTGACTGTACACTAACGAAAACATAGGTATAAATATTATATCAGTAGCTAACTGGTTAATTTTTTTCAGAAATACCCTCCAAAACAAAATGATGTGTAATACAAGAGGCCTTTCCTTGTGGTTTCCTTGTACAGTAGGTGCTGCACTGGCACAGTGAGCTTTAGCACTGCGTCTCAAAGTGCTATACTCTTAGTGGTGTTGAAATTTTAATGTTTAATGTCTTGCCGTTTATTTATTATTTTGTGTTGGCTCTGCTGACAAACAGCTTGCTGGCCATGTTAACACACATAGTGGCCACTGCCCATCCTGCAGTCTCTGGTTGGAGCTAGCTAGTGGCACAACTCCAATAGTGTTGCTGCAGAAACATGGTGGCCACCCTCTGGTCTTTCCCTAGGTAGCCCTGGTAAGTAAGCAGCTTCATTTGGAGCTGCCACACCACCTTAATATTGTTAACTAGCACCACCAGCCCTGCTGACACCACTAATGGTGCTAACAGAGCCAATAGTTAACAATGTTAAAAGAGGTTTGCGGCTCAAAAGATTTGTGAGGTGCTCAGGGCAAGAGTTGCAAAATGAACCTATACTATGACATGCCAAAAAATTCTGACTATTGGAGGTATTGCTTGGAGATTTGGTAAACACGATCACGTTCCCCTCAGAATAAATTATCATAGACCATAACTTTTTATCTGGTGCCTAGTTTAAGACATTCCCATCAGTGCTAATCAGCAAACATTTGCATGCTAACACACTAAAATACAATGGTGAATCTGGTAAACATTACACCTGCTAAACATCTGCATTTTAGCAGCATCTGTGAGTGTAATTATATGAATATCCTGTTTATGAGGCTTATCCCAGTTATGATCATATTTGGGATATGATGTTTACATAAGCACAGAGAAAACAGGTTATCCATATTCCCCCTTATACCCTGTATACATCTCAGTTTCTGTCACAGCACTCCAGCTAGCATATTTGGGTTTCTCATAAACAGGAATATGGTGTTTACATGCTCAAACACATAAAAGGGATACTTCAAAAACCTTATCATAAACAAGTTATTCATCTCCATGCACACTGGGAGCCTCTTATGATACCTATGTTAGCATAGCACAGTAACACCTCTGCACCTATACATCTCTATCTCTAAGTAAGATCTAATCTGTTGCAAATAAACATATGTTGTTTAGAAATTGTGTAATCTGTTCACATTTAACCACTTGTGTAATAAAACAGTATCTCTGCAGCTTTTTGAAATGCATGAATCAGCTTGTCCTTCCTGCAACGTAGATTTCTGTATTTAACACACCGCTGGATCTTTACATGTTTTCATGCTGTGCAGATTTGGTGTGAACACAGTTCTGCGATTAGCCTCACATGGAGAAAACGTGTTACAGAACAGGATAAATAAGCCAGAAAGAATGACTGATTACAAACTGTGTTTGTGTTCTGATGCATTTATTTATTCACACGTCTCAACTTGTTTTATATTATAGTTTACTGAACTGTATAATGATTTACAGTCTGTTGTGTCGCTAAGGTTGGTTTACTGCCTTCATACAGCACTGTATTTTCTAGCCTACTTACATCAGTTGGGATTTGGAGTCTCCTTCTGTTACCTTCCTGCTTCCTCACTGCCTTTGGTTGCCTCCTCTGTCTTCTTTCTTTGCTCTCTCCTTTGATCCACCCCCCACTCTGCACTCTTCAGTCACAGCTACAGGCGAAGTGGCTGGGACAGCCAACAGGTTTTGTTCTCTTCTCCAACAGCCTGTTGGGGTCAGAGGTTAGAGGCCCTCAGACAGTGCTCACTGCTGCCCCCTGGTGCTCAGTATTATCTACAGTAGGAAGCTTTCCAGTGCGTGTGAATGTGTTGAGGCGATGAAAATTGGAGCCTTGCCAAGACTCGACCTGCAGAGAGAAATAATCTAGCCAAGCCTGATTAAATCCCCAAATTTCTCCTAATCAGGACATTCAATGGTATTTAAATGGTCTGAACAAGTTTTTAATTAAATTACAAAATTGAAAATGGTACCTTTAAAATCCCTAAAATGGCCTGAATGCAATAATCAGAAGTCTGCATGGACAGATTCTGAACTTAAGTATGCCAGTTTTTAAAGAGCACTTAGTGAAATAAAGAAACTCCCATAAAGTTGATATTTTAAATGAAAAGGTATTAGTTTTGCTGCCCATTCAATTTAGTGCACTCATGTGTGTGTATGTGTGTGTGTGTGCTCTGATACTGTCCATGAGGGAGCTGTCAACTGGCAGTGAATCAGGCCTTCAAGATAATTGCATAGTCAGTCACATCATGTGTGACCTACATCAAACAAACTGTGTCCTAGAGGTAGCCGACATGACACTCACATTTTAGATCATTAAAGAAAAGGTCATTTGCAACAAGCGGTGGTTTAGATATGGGCCACTTTTTGTGTCTGTCCTCTGGGAAATCACCAATTCTTCTTTGATAGATACCTCCCTGACCTCTATCACCTCTTTACCCTCAGGTCTGTCCAAGTTCCATCAGGAGCCATCACCCCAAACGGTGCCCGCTGGGGGAGCTGCCCGCTTCGAGTGCCAGATTGAGGGAGTACCCACACCAGTTATTACCTGGGAAAAGGACACAGTGGCTGTCCCCGAGGACACAAGGTGACTCTTTTATGTGTTGGCGTTGACCTTCACCCCTTCTGATTTCATCTTTTCTTCTGTCTTTTTGTTTTCTTACAATATCAGTGAATGAACGATGTGATTACTCAGGCTTGTGTCAGGATTTCTGCTGTTTTAACCCAATTATTTTAAAAGTATATTCTTTTTTACCTCAAATTTTTCTCTTAATTTGTTCTCTCATTAACATCCTAGCGCTGTCTTTTAGATCCAAACATAATGCCATAAAATGATTGACATGAAAAGCCAAATAAGACGTGGCTTTCTAGTTTAAATACTTCCTATAAAAGTGAACTAAAGCGTAGCTCAGTGATGTACTTAATCTGGGAAACACATACAGGCTAAATGTGAATTGTATTCAGTCTGACTATGATGTGAACTCAAGCTGGCTGTTAAATTCCAGTGCAGATAAAAGCTCGTTCAATCAGGAGAGACTCTTTCTCAGAGACAAGAATATGTATTTACATGTGCACATAAGTATGAGAAATGTGAAAAGTCTTTGGCGATTAGACCCCATCACGATGTCATATATTCCAGGAGGATGGTAAAGACGTTGTAGATTAGGGAACCCTCTCTGCAGAGTCTAGACGCAGGTGGTGGTGATGAGGTGATGAGGTGAGATGAAGAGGGAACTGAGGATCTGGACGTGAAAAGGAATGAGCTTTTTATTAACTTGTCCTGGGCTCTGGATAAGGTGATTGGAGGTGAATGGGTTGGAGGAGGGAGCAACGATTCCGCTTAAAATGACAGCTGACAGGCGCAGAGAGGAGAACAGATTTAAAGTGAGCAACATGAGTGGCTGAAGGAAATCGTGGCAAAGGGAACACCTATAGTCCGCTGACTGGTGGAATTGTGAATGGATATAGCATAAAAAAAGTCTTCCTGATTGAACTTAAACTGAGCTTCATTATTAATGTAACAATAACAAACTTGCATTTGGTTCGGCAAAACTCACATGCTGAGTTCCACAATTGATCAGAAATGTGTGCACATGCCGTGACATGACAGAATGACAATTGTTTGTTAAGCTCATTTTCACTGGAATACACACAGTAAATAAGTGAAGGATTATCTTTTTGCACCATGTAAAAATGAGAGGTACAGCATGAGTTAAATGTTGATTGCATTTGAGCTTCTCAGTTTACTAATTGAAAATGGTACAAGGATTTTTACATGCTTCTGACATACAGTACAGGCCAAAAGTTTGGACACACCTTCTCATTCAATGCGTTTTCTTTATTTTCATGACTATTTACATTGTAGATTCTCACTGAAGGCATCAAAACTATGAATGAACACATGTGGAGTTATGTACTTAACAAAAAAAGGTGAAATAACTGAAAACATGTTTTATATTCTAGTTTCTTCAAAATAGCCACCCTTTGCTCTGATTACTGCTTTGCACACTCTTGGCATTCTCTCCATGAGCTTCAAGAGGTAGTCACCTGAAATGGTTTTCCAACAGTCTTGAAGGAGTTCCCAGAGGTGTTTAGCACTTGTTGGCCCCTTTGCCTTCACTCTGCGGTCCAGCTCACCCCAAACCATCTCGATTGGGTTCAGGTCCGGTGACTGTGGAGGCCAGGTCATCTGCCGCAGCACTCCATCACTCTCCTTCTTGGTCAAATAGCCCTTACACAGCCTGGAGGTGTGTTTGGGGTCATTGTCCTGTTGAAAAATAAATGATCGTCCAACTAAACGCAAACCGGATGGGATGGCATGTCGCTGCAGGATGCTGTGGTAGCCATGCTGGTTCAGTGTGCCTTCAATTTTGAATAAATCCCCAACAGTGTCACCAGCAAAACACCCCCACACCATCACACCTCCTCCTCCATGCTTCACAGTGGGAACCAGGCATGTGGAATCCATCCGTTCACCTTTTCTGCGTCTCACAAAGACACGGCGGTTGGAACCAAAGATCTCAAATTTGGACTCATCAGACCAAAGCACAGATTTCCACTGGTCTAATGTCCATTCCTTGTGTTTCTTGGCCCAAACAAATCTCTTCTGCTTGTTGCCTCTCCTTAGCAGTGGTTTCCTAGCAGCTATTTGACCATGAAGGCCTGATTGGCGCAGTCTCCTCTTAACAGTTGTTCTAGAGATGGGTCTGCTGCTAGAACTCTGTGTGGCATTCATCTGGTCTCTGATCTGAGCTGCTGTTAACTTGCGATTTCTGAGGCTGGTGACTCGGATGAACTTATCCTCAGAAGCAGAGGTGACTCTTGGTCTTCCTTTCCTGGGTCGGTCCTCATGTGTGCCAGTTTCGTTGTAGCGCTTGATGGTTTTTGCGACTCCACTTGGGGACACATTTAAAGTTTTTGCAATTTTCCGGACTGACTGACCTTCATTTCTTAAAGTAATGATGGCCACTCGTTTTTCTTTAGTTAGCTGATTGGTTCTTGCCATAATATGAATTTTAACAGTTGTCCAATAGGGCTGTCGGCTGTGTATTAACCTGACTTCTGCACAACACAACTGATGGTCCCAACCCCATTGATAAAGCAAGAAATTCCACTAATTAACCCTGATAAGGCACACCTGTGAAGTGGAAACCATTTCAGGTGACTACCTCTTGAAGCTCATGGAGAGAATGCCAAGAGTGTGCAAAGCAGTAATCAGAGCAAAGGGTGGCTATTTTGAAGAAACTAGAATATAAAACATGTTTTCAGTTATTTCACCTTTTTTTGTTAAGTACATAACTCCACATGTGTTCATTCATAGTTTTGATGCCTTCAGTGAGAATCTACAATGTAAATAGTCATGAAAATAAAGAAAACGCATTGAATGAGAAGGTGTGTCCAAACTTTTGGCCTGTACTGTACCCAGATGTGAATGTGAGTGTGCTGCATTTACAAAGCCAACCTGGAAAATCAGAAAACCTTTTAGTCGTCTGGTTCGACATTTAAGTGTTTCCTCTATGTTCATTTGACATATGAAACATACATGTTCATGCAAATCAATTTAGTGCTGTTTAATTACAGTCTCGTTATTATCCCATCACTTCTTTGTATCCTCCCCTGGAACATACTGTCTGCAATTACAAGCTTCAGTGGAGAGGTCAGAGTGCAGTGATTACCAAGCACTCTAATTTGACCTTGACAATACAGTGGAAAACTTACTAATAATAGTAACAATTAACAGAACAGGTGCAGGGGCTGAGGGTCCCTCCCTCATTACACACCTGTCAACCACCTCAAAATTTTAAGAGTAAAAATAAAAAATAAAATGTATTATGTAGCCATTGATGATATTTCCAGTATTCTTATTATCGTTTTTAGTCATTCATGAAAGCTTCAAAAATGGCCACTGCCTGATGACCTCAGATGCCCACACAAGAAGTTTTCTTTGACTACAGGAGTATTTCAAAGTAAATATTCAGGTTTTCTACAACCTTTCAGAAGAGAACTGAAGAATTACCTTGAGGTGTCAAGCTTTTCACTATGAAGCTTCTGTGCTCTTACAGACACAGAAAAAAAAGATTCAAAATGCACGTCTGCTGCCACCTCCTTGACAGATCTCTGTCTGTCTGTTCTCTCACACACATGCTCTCATTTACGGGGCCACTTAACGATGTTGACATTTCGTTGTGACTCTACTGGCTCCAGCGCCTTGGAATTTGTTTCCAGCCTTATTGCACAGGACTAAGTGCTAATGGCTGCTGTAGCCCTGCATGACCTGCAAACAGCACGCTGCTTATGAGGTCTTATTGGTGGGATGTGGTTCTCCGACCTCAGGCGATGTTAATGGTCTCTCACAAAGATGAGCCAACGGATGGCTGATACATCACTGGCTTTTTCTCTCTCTGTTCTCTCCTGCTCTAATGTGCCTTTTTCTCTCTATTGGCTCTTCTGCCACCTCCCTTCCCATTCCCTTTACATCTCTTTTTCGGTTACACTTCTATCCCCATTTTCTCTTCATTCATGGCTCCCTATCTTCCTCTCATTATCTCTTTCTTTTCTTATTCTTTGTTTTTCCCATCAACTGCCTTTTTTTCTCACCTTCTCTCCACTCTCTTCCCCTCTTCCCTTCTGAACAGGCTACCACTGCTCAAATTTAGGTGGGATTAATAGGCTGTGATAAAGTGATAAGAGGTTGTGAGATGGCATTACATTGCCAGGGCCCTGGGGGCTTGGAGTAATATTTCTGGAACATGACCTCCACAAAAGGGGGAGAAGTAGAGTCATGTAGGATTAAAGTAGAAATAGTAAATATCAACAGCACAAATAGACATTGTACTCAAAATGATAAAATACGCAAATGTAATTGTTATTTTCTGTACTGCTTTTTGGGTATTCTGTGCATGCATGATTCTGTGCTTGAGAGATTGTCTTTGTCCAGAAGACAACGTTCATCTTCCCATCCCTGTATTTAAGTTTCTTTTGGGTTGCATGACTTGTAATTGCAGCCTCTCCTTGTTGTGGTCGCACACAATAGCTTCTCTCCGGAATAAAGATGGATGGAGTCCTGTGAGGCCCCAGCAGTAAACCCTGCAGAGTTGATCAGCTGGATGTTTCATGCTGCAGGGCACTAAGCCATTTATTCAGTCGATTTTCTCTCTCTGTGCCATTCGCCTTCACACTCTTTCTCCCTCTGTCACCTCTTCCTCTGTTTCGCCCTGTGTACAACAGGTTCATTTCCCTTCTTAACGGGGTGCTCCAGATTCTGGAGGTGACCAAGGAGGATGAGGGCGCCTACCGCTGTGTCGCGTCCAACTCTGCCAGGAAGGACATCAGTCATGAAGCCAGGCTCACTGTCACCACAGGTGAGGTCTGTTGCTGTGCTTTACAGTGTTTGAATAGGCAGCTGGGCCCCGCTGGGAGCTGCCAGGCCAACCTCTAAAAAATCTAATGTGAGTTTTAGTACTTGATGCTTGAAATGTGTTGGGTCTCTCTGGTGCTAACAAAATGACATTCTCACTGTGTATTGTGTAACCCAGTGTTTGTATTGTGTGTTGTGGGTTTGAAACTAAAGTGAAAAAACACTGTTGTAGGCAATTAGTTTGCTGGCTGAACTAGCAAAACAGTTTTGCATAACAGATGTGGGATTTGCATTATTTGGATCAAAACATATAAAATACTCTGCTTTGAAGAATCATTTACTTCTGATTTTCCACATCACACTTAAGCAAGTTGCATTTTGTACAATGATTGTATTCCAAAGCCCTTTTAAGGTCATAAAATCATATTTGTTCTCACATGCCTTGAACTCTGATTTAAAGTGGGCATAGAGAAACGTAACCTCTTAAACAGATGAATGTGAAAACATTGTAAATTCACACATACTAAAATGCATTCTTTGAGTGTAGGATAGTTTATAGTGGATTGCAATACAACGGAATACAATAGGAGCCGTGAGATGCAAATGAAGAAAAAAATTCCTGGCGATGCATTTTCAAAGTTTGATCTCAGTAGTTTTCCCTCCTGTGTTTGTAACTTAAGAACAGGTGAAAGATGGATTTTGTCAGGATAATCTTTTTAAGTTCCTTAAGTTTTTTCCTTCCATAAAACAAGTATATTTTAAGGATAATTTTTCTAAATTACTTCTCTTCATAGACCTCCATGTTAAAATCCCCAACTTTACAGCAAAAGTAAACATGTTTACAGCCTAGTACAATAAACGGTTTTGGTCTCTATAGTTAATTTCCCCAGAAATGACAACTGTACAGAGCACAGTGGCACTGAGAATATTATATTATATTATATTAGTATTTCATTTTCTGAATGTAAAAGGATAGTTTAACGTATTGTTCAATTTGTAATGCGTACTCATACAAATACATGCATTGTAACATCCCTACCCATTTGATTTCCTTACCACTGCATTAATTGTAAGCATTCAGTTCACTGGTTGTTTTTAGCATAATTAGCATTTCCTAGCTACATGTAGGCTATAATCAGTTGGCAGTTATCTTCATTAGTCGTGTACAGTCACTCAGGGCCAGCCAACTCATCCCTTTTATTTTTCATTTTTTCTTTTAGATTAAATATCTTTTCTAACACTCTTGAGTCTAACATCTCAATTCATTTGTGTAACATTAACAATGTTATTATTTAACTGCTTTGTCTTGACGATACAATGACAAAAGTAGGTCAGTAAGCTGTAAAAACATTCCTTCCCCAAATGTAAAATTGATTATTACATTGAATCTGAGTCCACAATTTAATACGTTTGGCTATGATTTAATGTAGGCTGTGAGTATTGGCATCAACCTACAAATGATAAGATGCAATAAAGGCAGTAAGCTAATCAAGTAAACTTCAGAATCTATCACATCATCAACGAACAGGAAAGCATTATGATCTGTTATCCCACTTTCTCAACCATGTCTGTTAATGTCTTCAGCATAGCTAAAGCAAGTCATAAAGACTCCATTATTACAGCCAGACAGTATTTCCACAAATGCCAGGGCTTGAATGGTTGCTGCTGCCTAATATAGGAAATACAGTTAAGTATCTAAGACATAGCTGTGACAATTCAAACCCTTTTGAACAAACATTTGTGGTATCAAACTGGAAGGGGACAGAATAGGAGCTTGGAGTAGCTGTTGGGCAGAGACCAACACCTCTGCAGAACTGAGACTTTTCTCAACTCTGACTACTTGAAAAAAAAATGCCTTTTTAAAACGACTTCAGCTTACTGAACTTCAGCCACCTTTGCCATGTGTCCTTTATGCAATGTATTTTCTATACATTTCTGTTTCATGTCTCAATAAAAGCATCTCTATTATGCAAAGCACTTTAAGCTGCTGATGGTTTGTACTCAATGCAAGTGCATGCCTGTCCTTCAGACTCCATTTGCTATCACACCTACGGATAGAAAGAAAAAAGCGTTGACAGACAGTAGTCATATTCTACACTGGAGCTGGCATTGGGCTTACACTTTCAATTTGGCCTTCCATAAGCGTCTGACACTGTGTGTTTGTTCATCTCTTCATCCACAGAACTCATTCTCCCTGTTTGGTAGAAGAATTGCAATTTTTTCAGAGTTTCAATTCAGCGACTAAATAAGAGCATGACATATTCAAAGTTAAACAATTCAGCTGGAAACTTTATGTAAGTCATACAGAAAGTGCTGTGGGGAAAACGAGGTATTTATGTACATATTTAAACTGAATTGTCTCCCACTAATCTTCATCTTAAACTGCATTACTGATCATTTTGTGCAAACCACAGCAAAGTGTTTAAGAAGGCTGACTCTACGCAGCTGTTGCTTTCTGTAATTTACCTCAATTTACTGTCATCGAAACTATTACACATCTTAATACCACAGGCAAAGAGAAATCAAACCCTGAAAATGTCATGTGCATCAATTCATAACATGGTGACAAAGGATAAATGTTACATTATGATGTGATTATGCTTCAATCAATAAAACCCAAGATGACAATTAAATGCAATGAGTTATGCTGTTTACACATTAAAAGCATATCCTTCAGTATGCCGTATCTACAGTATTTGACAATTTTGACGCCCTTCTCCAATTTGATCAGAATCCCAGGCTGACTGCGCCACACAAGGACTTGCATTAGTGGATTACATGGTGCAGTGAGTCAGTGAATAGTATTGTGAGGTGTGATTTTGCCATTAGGCAACCCACATTAAAGCCATGTCGTATTATCTGCCTCTGTAGCTATCAGTCTACTGTAATTGGCTGCTCTGTGGAAACCATTGTGTCCTTTCTGAGTCACAGCCTTTGTGTCCTTCAAAAGAAAGACAAAGAGGGGGAGAGACAGACAAGGCCAAAAGAAGCAGTCAGAATAGCATTTGGAATTTGAATACTTTTCTCATGCTTCTATTGCAATTTGAGTGCAAAATATGAGGGAAAGTGTTGTCTCTTTTTTGCAAAATGGGTGCTCTTCACTTTTGATAGTCTTTAGAGAGCTTTATGAAAATTAGTTTGCCACAATATATATATAGTATATCTGACAGATTTTCACACTTGTAATGACAAAGAGGCTGATGCTATTTTCCCTTGATGGTTTTCCTGCTGTCATGGAACCCCAGAAAGAAACTACTTAAGGCTGTGTTATGAGTCATTAAGAGTAAAAGCAGAAATACATGAGGCATGGATGTGACATGTCAGGTAACGGGGGCGGAGCAGCATTTTTTTACCTACTACACAGACTCTGTCTTTGTACTGTAGCATGTGGTTGCTGCCATCTTTACTGTGTGCATGTTGAGTTTTGCTAAGTGATAATGCAGTTGGTTATGCATTGGCTTCTGTGGTCAGTGTAGGAGCTTCAGTTGATTATAATGGGCGCCCTCTGCTGTGGGCATGTATGGTATCTTTTATTTTCAGGCCTTCATACACACACAAGCTGTCTTTGTTAGTTTAAGGAACTCACAAAGAAATACAACCCTACACCTGTGGAGTTCAAGTTTCTCTCATTAATCAAACTAAGACTAGCCCAAGTCGCAACAGAAGCTTTTGAGGCTTCCAATTAAGTTCAAAAGTAGCCGCCCACAGACACCACAACAGGAGATATGATGCAATCACTGTCTTTGCTTTAGTTCTACTCACTGGTTGATGATCTATGGTGCTTTAGTTGGTTTTAGAGTTGACTGATTTGCAGGGTGTATGAAGAGTTGCAAGATGAAGCTATGAACTGATTGTCTTGACTGTTGCGTTAAAAAAAGTGAAAACAAAAATCCCCAAACAAACATTCACCAAATTAACACGCCTTTACAAAAACAAAGTTTAAATCAATGAAGTATAAATAGGGCGTCACTGGCTTAGTGGGTAAAGCAGGCGTCCCATGTACAAGGCTGTTGCCGCAGCAGCCCGGGTTAGAGTCCAGCCTGCATGTCACCCCCTCTCCTTTCACCAGTGTTTCATCTAGTTGGTCCCACGACACCTCCAGGAGGCTAGACAGTGATCTCAGGTGTCCCAGAGACACTCCCCTAATGCCAGGTCTCACTGCTCCCCACACCAACCCAATAACCTCCTTTACCTTACTTAGACATGGCTTTCTCAGCCCAAACAGCACCGCCACCTTCAACCAAACCCAGGCTCCGTACATGCGAGCTCCAGGTAGAAGCAATACTGAAACTACCTTTCCTAGCACATTCACCATACTCTATTTCACACACTACATAGCATAACTACAATATAAGCTAAAGTTAAAGGAGATAAATAAACTTACAGGATCAGCAAACACACTCACCTTGCAGCATGGTCTCAAACAAAAGGGATTCAAATAGGCCACTCCCACACTTAAATAACCTTCCTCTTCCTGGATTTCCTCCTGAGAGGAAGTGGATCTCTCCACCTGATCTCAAGGAGTTATGTACTCTGCTTAGTAGTTCCCCCTGCTGGCCCCCAACTGACATTATTTCTACGATTCCAGATCCATTGGCTACACCTAAATGATTCATCTGACATTTCCTTCACTGTCTTCCTCAAACTCTGTCCCCGCACTCCGAGTTCCCCCAGGAGCGAGACAGCTGATCTTGCTATGAATCCCCTACACCCCACTTCCACTGGACAAATCCTAGTCTTCCATCCTCGCTGCTCAGCTTCTGCTCCTAAGTCTACATATCTAAGCTTTTTTCTTTCATAGGCTTCTTCCACTGAGTCTTCCCAAGGAACTGTCAGCTCAATGAAATAGACTATCCGTTGACTCACTGACCACAACACTATGTCAGGCCTCTGCTTGGTACAAACTATTTCCTGGGGAACAGCAAACTTTCCCCCTAAATCTAATTGCATTTCCCAATCACAAGCACCTTCTAGGCGGCCACACCCTTGCCTCCTCACTAACTTATCCTTTCTGTATTTCTCTCCCTCACGGACAAACTGAATTGCTAAACTCCTATCCTTAACACCTTCTGAATTCACCTGTCTTCATTTCCCTTCGATGCCTGCAGCTAAACATTTCAACACCTGATTATGTCGCCATGTATATCGGTCTTGTGACAAGCTAACTTTACAGCCTGACAAAATAAGCTTTAAGGTTGCGATACCTGAACACAACGGGCATGATGGGTGCTCATTTACCCACAGTTTTAGGTTCTGGGGGGTTGGTAACACATCGTATGTAGCCCCTACCATGAATCTAATACAATTCTCCTCCATACTCCACAGGTCCCTCCAACTAAGCTTCCTCTTCTCTACACTTTCCCAATTCAACCACTGTCCCTGTTTAGCCTGGGCCACTACCTTTGCACCCCTTACTATCTCCGCCTGTCTACGTATCTGTTCCACAACCAGCTTTCTTTTATCTTTGAGACCTGCTGTATTCCATACTGGTTTGCCTGAGCCAAGCCCCAGGCCTCCCCAGCCAAACTGAACATTACCTACAGTCTCTGCATGCCTAAGAGCTGCCTCTGCCTCCTGAACTGCCGATCTTGGGTTCCACCACACTCCTAACTACCACGTCTTTACTCCCAGATAACAAGAGTTCTGTCCTGACCTTGGTACATTTAAATTCCTCTGTTAAACTAGATACTGGCAGCTGAAGTATCCCTTTTCCATACAATGCAACACTACTTAGGCATCTAGGAGCGCCCAACCACTTCCTAATATAGGAGCTAACCGACCTTTCAATTCTTTCCACAATGGATACTGGAATTTGTAAACTGACAATGGCCTAGGATATAGCCCAAATTGCAAACACCACAACTTCAACTTTCCTGGAAGTTCTGATTTATCTATTCTATCCAATCCTTCAGCCACATCTTTTCTAAATTTCACCACCTGTTCCTCATCATTCAACTCTACACTGTACCACCTACCTAAGCTCTTTACTGACTTTTCCCTAATTGTTGGGATGTCCTCATCATCTATGACAAACTTCCTATCACTTAACTTCCCTCTATGTATTGAGATGCTTCTAGATTTACTAGGCTTAGAGTGACTCAAAAAATAATAGGAAACTAGGACTTGTTAGAAATGGCGTTGACAGAAACAAAATAAAAGTCACCAAAACCGTCTTGATTAGTCCTTCTGCTGTTCTGACAGTCGTCACCTCTAAACCCTTAGATATAAAAATATGCTGAAAATATGCCAGCTTTTTACTAGTCTTGTTATGTCATCCACACCACTCCCAGTCGCCATCTTTCTCAGCTCAATTGCCTGTTCCACCAGTAGAGGCTGACCTCTGGTGGCACATGCTGTTCACTACAATACATTGCCTCAGTACAGCATCTCCATATTTGTTTAAGAGAAGAGCAGCAACTGTATTTTTGAAGGTATTGAGTATCATACTGTCGAGGTTTCTACCTTGGTGTACCCTCATAACCTCATACAGCCCAAGCCTACTCAGCATCCATAGCCAAGCTCTGACGCTTTGATGTTGAGGTGCTCTTGTCCATGTATTTCACACATACTTCAGCTGCCTTAAACCTCCACTTTCTAGTTTGTTTCTTCTTTACTTAACCCTCAATTTTCTCCAGGCTTTACGCTTTACCCACACCCATCATATCCCTGCACAAAGACCTGTATAAAGGCACACCCTGCTATGTAGTCCTCGCAAAGGCGCACTGACCCACTTAAAGCCTTATGTATAACCAAGGATTGCTGTAAGTAATCTCAATGATTAATTTATAATGTGTTTACAGAATGCCAGGCCTCTCTCTGGAGGTCATTAGCATTATGTGCTGCTGAGGCTGCCTGGTCCCTTTAACCCATAACCAATATGCTCTGAATAACATCCTTAGTCACTGAAGAGCAAAGATGTGCCTCAATGCCATAATTGAGGCCGTTCTATCAACTGTTTTACCTTTTTCTGTCATGGAAAGGTGATTTGTGTTCTCTTCTTTTCAGGCTTTTTAGAAGCTAAACTGAAGTTGCAAGTATTGCTGCAGGAAGCAAAAGAGGAGACGTATTTCTCGACAACTTCATGTTGGGAGATAACAGCAAACACATGTGCATAGAGCTACCCACTGGGCAATGAAGGCTCCTGTGTTGTAGTGGGTTACCCCATGTCATAACTTCAACTTGAAGTGTGTGTAGAAGAGGTGACGAAATTTGTTCACAAGGCCCACAACAGCTTCCAATGGTTCATTCTCAAATGAGAGACTCACTAGAACTCAGTGAGGAGAGTGAAAACTAAGAATCAGTATTTATAAGGCCAACCAATCTTCCTTTGTTGTTCTGATTTTTCTCAAACTAATCATTTATTATGAGTGTTTTGTTGAGAATGCACGCTCTTAGTTCACACAAATACCCTATAGTTACACCCAAGAGGGCCTGGAAGCTTTTCTGCTCTCTCCTAATGTTGCATCTACGTGCTTGGATGAAATGGTTAGAAAAACTTTCACAGTAATTGGCGAGAGGTGGGAAAGCACTGTAGCCTGATAATCAGACTGAATTGCCACTTTGTTTCACTTCATTGGTAAATAATAAAGTATCCGATTTGCTGAAAAAAACTAGAATTCAGCAGCAGCAATTCAGAGGTCGGGACCAGGCCGATAGTATCTCTCATTCAGTCAGTGTAATCACACAGGCAACTTTCCTGTTACAATCACTAATATTTACCACTCCATAATACAAAGTATACACTCTTTTTTGTTATAGGCTCTTCTGAAGCCCTAAATGGAGTTGCAATTGTTGCACCACCTCAGAATGCAACAGTCGTACTCGGCCGTCCTGCTGTGATGGAGTGTATGGCACAAGGCCAGCCGAAGCCACTGGTGTCCTGGAGCAGGCAAGGTAACGCTCACAAATGCCCCCACTCCCTCGTTCTCCGACATTCTCATCCTGTGTGTTTTTCTTTTTTTTTTTTACTGCACCTGTCGCATTTCCATTATGTGTGTTTGTCATGCTCTCTAACTATGTGTCTCTCACACACAAAGAACAAATGTCAACACGTCAGAATCAGATTTGCGTACCTGCAGCTGTGAAGTTGTTGTTTTAGCGATGATGGCTGTCTCCTCTCAGCCAGTCTCTCTGTTGTTCTATTGAACACTGACACATGCTTTACATAAGATGACTTGTCACACTGATAAATTCACACCTCTACAGCTCTGATGCACACACACTTGAAGTCTTGGTGGGAATGACGTCATGTGAAACTTTTGGAAGTCCTTTGTGCTGTGATTAGGCAACATCTCTTCAACTTGTTTTAGTCGAGTGCTGCATCTGAAATTCCTCGCTTATTTACATTTAAAGGGACAGTTCACCCCAAAATCTATTTGTATTTATTAATCCTGCATCTATTGCTGGTTTACCTAGCACAGCTGAGCTTTTTAACATTACAGCTGGGCCGAGAAGGATGCCATTAATGTTTACATCATGTGCTGTCATGACGCAGGCCTCTCATCCATGAGTAGATGCACGCTTCCTTCTGCATGGTGATATGGTGGGTGTGGTTTGGTAGGAAGAAAATAGTTCCCACATGAAACTCCTCACAACAACGTCTGAGAATTTTTCAGATGTTTTTATATTCAACAGAGGGCAGACTTCTCTCTAGCCGATATCTCCGATACTGCAACTCACGCCAAAACAATCTAGATTCAAAAATAGCACTACAGATAAGAGAAAAATATGTATTTTTTATTTTGGGGCAAACTGTGCCTCAACATTTCACTATACATTGTATCAGTTGTCAAAAACTGCACTACCCTGTTCAAGTCAGTTGGAATTCAAAGTGGTAGCAGGTGCTTAGTAACTACTTTTTACATGGCATTGTAAGATAATTCACTCTGTAGGTGATGATCTAACAACAGCACAAAATGGCAGACAAACTAAATAGTGGTCTATACAGTGAACAGTGAAGGATTTTACTCACAGCCTAGGAGTGTGCCAGTGCAGACACCTCAATGAACCCAGACTAAAAAGTCACAGAGCCACCTGTTGGTCATCTTGTGGGATTACAGGTCAAATCTGCTGCTGCTCAAAGTGCTGCCTCTAACTCGTGTGCTGTTTCTCAGGCAACTGAAAGCCTGAGAAATGATCTTTGCTTTTCTCAATGCAAATCTCTTGTTGTCTTCATCAATACAATGTGAGATTGTCATGTTCTTCTTTGTTGCCTTTTTCTTTGCACAGATGGAAAGCCCATTTCCACTGATGTGGTCGTCCTTGCAACAAACCTGGTGATTAGGGACACAAGGCGTCACCATGCCGGCGTCTATGTCTGCCGGGCCAACAAGCCCAAGACCAGAGAATTTGTCATTGCTGCTGCTGAGCTGCATGTGCCTGGTAGGACTCATCGTTTTTACTGTGTATAATGACAGATTAACATTTCTGAGTGCTGTTTAGCTCAGACCAGACACTGTCACCAACTTCTCCATAAGTCATCAAGTAATTGAAGGTCTAGTGATACCAGAAAGGAAATGTTTAAAGGTAATTTGCTATCTATGTAGTAAGTCCCCTAACTTTATCAGATTGCAATACAAAATCTCTGGGGTGTCCCTTCAGTTTTGTAGTGCACATCAAATTGTTGGTCCTGTAAGTCTGAGCTTTATTTCCTGCTTCCAACAGCCCCTCCAGTTATTCTCCAGCCCCCAGAGACAGTGTCCCTTTCCCGGGGAAACACAGCCAGGTTTGTGTGCAACAGCTCCGGGGAGCCTCCTCCAGTGTTGCACTGGCTTAAGGACGGTAAGCCCATCAGGTCATTCAGACGGGTGAAGACCCAAAGCCCCGGAGTCCTGCTAATCAACCAGCTTGCCCTAGAGGATGCGGGCTACTACCAGTGCATAGCAGACAACGGGCTGGGCACGGCCTGTGCCACTGCCAAGCTGACGGTCATTGTGAGAGAAGGTCTGCCCAGCCCTCCTCGCCACCTGTCTGCCACGCCCTACTCCAGCACAACTGCCCTGCTCGTCTGGGAGAAACCTGAGTACAACTCGGACCAAATCATCGGCTATTCTGTGCACTACCAACGTGCTGCAGGTGTGTCTTTTTTTTCTAATGTGTGTTACTGTACAGTATGCATGTCTACATTTCCTTAAAAAATGTAATTGATTTGAATATTTTCATCATTTTCAGGCTCAGACAATATGGAGTACCAGTTCGCAATGAACAACGACACCACAGAGTATCACGTCAAAGAGCTTCTCCCCCACACTGCTTACACATTCTTTGTAGTGGCTTACTCTCCCATGGGTGCCAGTCCCCCATCCCCGCGTGTAACAGTAGAGATGCTGGAGGACGGTGAGTAATCAAAGTAATGCATAGGTAAAATGAGGCAACAGAGATAGAATAAGGCCGCACAGGTAAAATAAGGCCACACAGGTAAAATAAGGCCACACAGGTAAAATAAGGCCAGCCTTGAATGCCTCATAGATTCACAGAGCAAGAATAATTGCATAACCAACCTTGTAACTGTAATTTTTTAGACCTCATGAATCATCAGTATCATCTGTTCATGAAGCATCAGTTTGGATTTTAAAAAGTAGTAGTAGTAGCTCACTCGAGACTCAGCATTTTTGCTTTAAAATCCAATTGACAATCGATCCACTTCTTTGAGAAAACACTGACTTGGTGCATACTCCTGAAGTTTTACTAGACATACAGTAGGGTGTCTTACTGTGCAGATCTATAGGGCATGCCTTGAATGTGCATCATCAAACAGTTCGGTGTGTCCTTTTATTCCCTCCTGCAGTGCCAAGCGCACCTCCCCAGCTGTCTATAGCCAGCACATCCCCCACAGACATCAGGCTGATGTGGCATCCATTGTCCTCGCAGCACAGTCGAGGAGCCGTTACCCGCTACCGCATTGAGTACAGCACTCTGGATCAGTGTGAGTAACCTCTGCTGGACTGAGCAACAAGTAGACCTTAAAGCTACAGTTGGTGACTTTTTTCATATGTGTGGAAAGTGTCACTATATTTATACAGCACTAAATGAGACAGATAATATGTTAAAACAACCAGTCAGAGCTGAGAAGTCTCTAAAGCAGCTGACTTCGGCAACTTCAGTCAGACTGTCAAACTAGGTAGTGCTGTTGAAATATGAATCAAGATTCAGTAACTGCATTGCCTATTTCTCGCCTGAAATGTTTTCAGAAACATATTACAGTGAACTGTTTAACTGTAAAATGAGAAAGTGTGTGACCCGGCTGCCATGTTGGATACAGTTAAACAGGAGTACCAAGCACTGCTCACCAGACAGACCTACTTTCTCTTTTCATATTTGATCGGCGCTGCCTAGTGTGACACTTTGGACAAAGTTCATGGAGCTATGATTGACAGCTAGGTTGGGGACCATGAATGAATGCCATGAATGCCATTAGAGGCAGTAGGACGAAAGGAGGGACATTATTTGTTTTCACAAATTATCTGTCTCATGTACTTCTCTCAGAATGCAGTGACTGTTTCAGCAAATAGGACAAAAGTTACAAACTGTATCTTTAAGTGCCAGTTAACACACAATTTAGTGACACACTTAGTGTAACTGAGGAGAACTACCCATTTTGGTGTCTTTACATAAGTTATTCATAGAGAAGGACAAGTTTAACAGTCTACTTTACTCATTTTGTATATTTCTGTTCTGTTTCTGATAATTGTTCAAGCTTAAGGGTGCAAAGGCTCAGAAATGTGTGCGATAGGGTCAAGAATATTTTGACAGTTATATATACAGTATAATATTCTAAATGGCCAGCTCTCCAGAATGTGCAGGGAGATCAAGTTAACTTTTCAAGGACATCCCAGATTGTCCTTGAAAACAGCAATATAATAATTCATAGAGAGACAACAGTGAAGAACATGTACTTTTTCCCTGTGTGATAAATATGACCGGTTAAATCATCAATTCCATGAGTTGTGCATTTTCTCTAAAGAAACCATTCAGAACATCACAATAATTAGATACTCCATTAGAAGATACATGTGAGTGTGTGTATTGTGTGTTCCCACAGTGGACACTGTGTTCTCAGTGGAAGTAGGGGGTAATGAGACTCAGTTCATACTGAGAGAGCTGCAGCCCAACCAGGTTTACCGAGTAAGGATAGCAGCTGGGACGGGCGTCGGCTTTGGGGTGCCCTCTGAGTGGGCCCAGCACCAAACATTAGCCCACTACAACCACAGCGACCACAGCATGGGTAAGGAAGACACTGTGCCTGATTCTCAGAGCATTTGTTCTGTTTGTGCTGTTACGTTTTAGTCTGGATTCCCACTGATGTTGTAGTATCATGTTTGGAATGAAATGGAATTTTGAGAGACATAACATACATAAGCTTTTGATATGTCAATTTTCCACTTGTAAGACATGTAAAGACCCAGACACACCAAACTGACATTAAAGATGTTGCATCTCCTCATGTTGCCTGTGATGCCAGAAAATTACACTTAACTTGATGCAAAGACTACAGCCAATGACTTACTAGCATGTAAATTCTGCGCCTGCCTGAGAGGAAAGAACTCCCCATACCAGCAGGCGGCCATAGTCTGTACTCGTCATTCAAAAAGGAAATCGAAGACAAGCAAGACAGATTCAAGACACTATTTAGCCACATTAACAACACAACCTCCGCCCATAGATACTGGATGCCAAGATGGCACCTAATAATTCCAGTGGAGTTGCTCTACTGGTGCATACGCCAAAAAAGTTTTTAGCTTACAGATTTACTTGAACTGAAACTGTGCTATTGCGTTTCCCTCGCTGGACCCATGCACGAGTTCCCCCTCGGCTCATAGACTTTACATAGTAATTTTAATTTTTTTGAAATTCTTTTCCCATTTCCAGAAAAGTTTTACAAATATAGATCAAATATGGATCAAAAATTTATAATAGAAAGAGTCATTATTGACCTTGTTTGCAGTCAATGGTTTCCTGTCAACAGTTTTACAGACATCTCTTTTACAATGGTGCTTTATGGGGAAAATACTTTTTGGGCTGCAGGGGATTTTTTCACTGCAATACCGCAAGTGGCCACTGAGAGAAATTGGCAGCAAGGCCGAGCAGTGTTCCTGGAGGCCTGGCTTTGCGGGGTCCAAAGCCGATTCAAAATGCTGAATTGGTTAAAAAATTTTAAAAAACAAAACAAAACAGCTGACTAGTGCCAACAATGCAGGACACACTGTAAAAACTAGGGCGACAGGCGTTCACCAACAACCCGTCATTAACCTATGGCTTGCCGGGCTTGGTGTGTCAGGGGTGTAACATGTTGTCATTTATAATATTGTGAACCATAGTAACAAAGGAGCCACGGTATTTTTTAGGATGCAGAATGTAACAGGAGAAAGGTTGTTGACTGAGTCTCATTCCCAGGTTGTCAAATCAACACTTTCGGTTGCCAGTCGGACCGAACCACCAACCAAAAGAGACTCAACAGGCAACTATCTTTCTCTAGAGTTACATACAGCACTTTCAAATAGCATTATCAAGATATTAAACTTTCATTCATTCATTCATTCATTCATTTTTTAACTACAAACACAGAACTGCGTACCATACACACAGAATATGACATATCAGCCAGTAGCAGTACTGTGTGGATGTAGACAGTGATGTTTTCCACAAGCAACAGGTCAAAATGTAGCTGGAGTGAAGTGTTAAAGTTATCATGTGGAATTCTTGGTCATTCTTTTTCAGCGATCTTTGCTCCTACTGAGCTGAAGGTCAGAGCCAGGGTGAACACACTCAATGTGACATGGCATCCCTCGCCCAATCACACCCTGGTCTCTGGTTACAAGCTGTCCTGTCGAGAGGTGGAGGCTGACGAATCAGCCAATGGAGAGAGGACGACACAGACTCACACCATCAGGCTCCGTAAGAAGGCCAGGTATCATCTCCTCACTGGGCTGGGTGAGTTTCTGACACAGGGCTCTTTAAACACAATTTGGGTTCTGCTTTCAAATTTTCACAGCCATTTTCCTAACTTTGCATTCAGCTTTGAGGTAATGTTTAATTAAATCATGCCCACCTGAAAATGACTCATCGATTTTTGCAGACACACACCAAGTAGCTTTTGGATAGCCTTGGTTAATTCTAAGCAAGGGAAATGTTTTTTTCACTTTTGTCCTGTCAGAGTGTTGCATTCCATTGAAAGACATTTTTAAATAAGAAGTAAAAACAGGCAGATGCCTCTCTTAAAAAGTAATAAGTAGTTTGGCGTCTCATTCAAAAGCTGTCTTTTATTCAAAATTGACTGGTTTTAGATTACATTTAAGGCCTCATGTCACACGCATATAAATACATGGCTCACTGTAACATATGTACACAGCATGTGTAGCTGTTGTTTTTATTTTTGTCTTTCTCCCTGTGTGTGTGTGTGTGTGTGTGTGTGTGTATCAGTGCCTGACCGGCAGTACGAGGTGAGAGTTTGGGCATTCAACAAGCAGATTGAAGGAGCAGCTGCGGTGTGGAAGGGAAGGACGGACAAGATCCATGACCGAAGTAATATTCCTCTTACTGCATGTGTGCACGCATACCTAAATGAATATATGAATGTATGATTGTCTTGTAAAAGAAAACATACTTGGCATCACTTTTATTAGACAATAAACAATGAAATCATATCAAGTCAAACAATGTGTATATCTGTGTTAAAGCGCCACCGCCGCCCATGCGCCCTCCTCCGCTGCCCCCAAGCAGCATCCAAGCCATGGCCAACAGCTCCACCTCCATCTGGCTGCGCTGGGAGAAACCACGGTTCAGCAACGTACGCATCATCAACTACACAGTGCGCTGCAGCCCAGCAGGAACCACCAACGCCTCCCTGGTCTCCTATTACACCAGGTTAGAAACCAGACTGGACATCAGAGGCTGAATCATTGTTTGTAATGTTTAAAAACCCTTGTCACCATAATTGATGGTCAACATTTGACAATACTACTTCCTGCATAACTTCCTATACATTAATGTTAACATTGCAAAGCCCATTTTAACAATGTTTGCAAGAAACAAAACTGTGACTAAATAAACATCTTTAGAAGTAGCATGACATTATTTACAGAAAAAAATAAAGACACCCAGTAGAGGCATTCCAATATAGGATTTTATACCTTTTCTCAGAAGAGCCAGAAGGACGTTTCTTTTAGGTGACACATTTTTGCATCTTGGTTTCTGCAGTTCAAACACCAAAAAAGTGAACACATTCTTCTTGTAAGAGCTCTTTTAAGTAGCTTTGAGTAGCTCCATTAATAACCATCATTTATACAGTAATCAAAATGAATCAGGTAATATTTCCCTTGCATTGATTTTACCCTTGACTCTTAAAGTGGGACTAGTTCTACTCTATGCCAAGAGTTTTACCCCGTATCCCTCCTGTCTTTACAATTCTTAGCATATGATTCATGGGTTAAAGAGGTGCAGACGTACTTGCAAACATAAAACACTCAATGATTGTCAAATAGAAGGCAGGTAATAAGAGTTAACAATATAAGGGTAATAAGTATTGTAGCCTGGTGTGGTCCAACAGGTCAGTGCAGAATATGAAGCATACACCACACACTCAGGACTCTGCTGGGTTTGTGTGTTGCAGCTCTGCGCAGGAGATACTGCTCGGGGCGTTGAGGCCCTTCACCCGCTACGAGCTGGCGGTGCAGTCTAATGGCGTGGACGTGGTGGGACCCTTCAGCAGCACAGTGGAGGAGTCTACTCTGTCTGACCGTGAGTCTCTGCTGTGCTTCTTTCAGTGTAGTCAGTGAAGTCTGTTTGCATTTTTAAAGACGCAGTGATAAAGGCTCTGAAGATTTTCCTGGAGTATTTTGTAGCCTTTAAGACATGTTTGGTGATGTAGATATCTTTCTATTTAATGACGAAAACTGTCTGTGTGTGTGTCTGTGTAGTCTCACCACCAGACAATCAGAGATCTACGCCTTCTGATAGTCTGGGGACACTCCTTTCTAAAGTGTGTTTAACACACTGGAGAAAACGGACGGCAACAAAGCAACGCCTCTAGCATTTTTGAAAAGGACACGCCCTCCCGGAAATGTGTGCTCCCCGTTTTCTCGTCCGCAAGGACACAAACACACAGAGAGCTTGAAAATGGATGCCGAGGGATTTAACTCTGTTTTATCAAACGTGTGCTCAGTGCACAAGATTGTGGAAATGAAGGACTTACAGTGACTTTGTTTAAACCTTTTAACGCAGTCGGACTATGTTTACGAGCACAAGAGTTCAGCGAGCCACCGAAGGACCGCCCTGCGGATTTACTATTTGTTCTGCAACGTAGGGAGTTTTTTTAAACTCTGAAATTGTATTCGCCCATCTAAACACAAAATCAGGGAGAAAGTCATCAGTCTTTAGTTAAGCAAAGTGTCTAAAGACTGACTTGTGAGTCGAGTGTCTGTGTGTCTGTTCCACGTTTTTCTCCTCACTGACTCGGTCAATCCATTTGAAATTTGGCAAATTGGTAGAGGGTAATGGAATGAAGCAATATTACATCAATTGGCCAAAGGGGGGCGCTATAGCAACCGATTGAAATGCAAACTTTGAATGGGCATATCTCATGCCCCGTATGTCGTAGAGACATGAAACTTTGCACAGAGATGCCTCTCCTCATGAGGAACAAATTTGCCTCAAGAACCCATAACTTCCAGTTTATAGATTTTCCGCCATTTTGAGTTTTTTTGAAAAACACTTAAAATCGATCTCTTCCTAGGAAGTTTGACCCATCTGCATGAAACTCGGTGAACATAATCTAGGGACCAATATCTAAAGTTCCCTCTTGGCAAAAGTTGGAAAACTTACTAAAACTGAGCTTCTATAAGGCAATGAATATTGCGGAGGGCGTGGCTCATCACATAAAGGTGTATAACATCTCAAGGGTTTCACCGATCACCACGCAACTTTGTAGGCATATGACCACACATAATCTGAGGGGACCCCTCCATTATTGACCCCATCAAACAAAATGGGGGCGCTAGAGAGCTAATTTCTTATCTAGGCCTAACCGCCATATTGATTTTTTACTAAACTTGGTAGATATGTAGAACAGGACGCCTCAAGGTGACTGGAAATTTAACTCTAACTGGCAACTTGGTGGCGCTATAACAACAGAAAAATGGCTAAAATGCAGCAGATCGCTGTGGCTGAAATCAAATTCCCAAAATCTCTGTCTGAATACATTGCTCTTCTTAATGGGTTCAGTTGACTATTTAATCTGCAGTTTCCTATGACCTGTATCCCAAACACACACCATGTGAAACTGTACGTGGGCAACTGTGCACTCAATGGGTATGGACTAGTTATACTTGATTTTTTTCACTCATTTTATTTACATTTTATTCTTCTATGTTTTGGGGTTGTCCGTATATCCATCCATTCGTTCCATTCTCATGAGCTTGATATCTAAGGGACGCCAAGAAGGAATTTCCTCAAATTTGGCACAAACATCCACTTGGACTCATGGATGAACTAATTAGATTTTGGTGGTCAAAGGTCACTGTGACCTCATAAAAACATGTTTTTGGCCAAGAGTAAAAAAGTTAATTGTGATAAAAGTTCATACAAATGTCTAATAGAATAAAATGATGCATTGATGACATTTTATATCTAAAAGATCAAAGGTCAACTTCACTGAAGTTCTGCAGAAATAATTCCCATACTACCATACTATATAGTATACCAGAAAAAGATTTAGTATGTCCCAACACATAGTGTGTCCAATGCAGTGTGCAGAGTGCCTGGATGTGTTCTACTACATCCAGATGGATTTTGCAGTATGCAAGCCAGCATGCTTTTCTGTCTGTTCTGACCCACAATCCTTTGCTGTCAGAAGTCACAATGATGCATGACAGCCTATTCAGGAGACTGATGGACCAGTCAATTTGTAAAAACAGAAATAATTGTTTAATTGAATACAATTATCATAAATATAACCAACAACAAAAAGGCATACATATTAAATGACAATGAGAGAGAAATGTATATCCTAAGTAATTTTACTATTGTGAATATAATATGTTAGGATCTACAGTGTATGCAGTTATTACTTACTGCAAAATAACAGCATCAGAGTTGACTGGGTTGACCTCAGTCTTTGGCGAGCTAGGTGAACGCATTTTGTTTTCTCTCCATGAGTAAGAAGTTCAAGGTTCCGGGCATAACATTACGAGGACGTAGTATGTCCCAGTTGTGTGCGTGCTGCATGCAACAGTACGTACTTTTGAAAGTCAGGTGTAGTACCTACTAAAGGTAAAAAGCAACCACCCATTTTTTTGTCCATTATTCAACAGAAGGGGAGACATTTGGTCAGATGCTGAATTGGTGACACTAATTTTGGGTGTCCACCTTGAATTTTGTAGCTTCTTTGCAGCCATCCATATTTGAAACACTGTCTACTTTCATAGCTACATATGAGTCTGGACACACATGGACGTAAACTGCAACTTGACTTGTTGGCAGAAGCATACAACCAAGAGGTGGTAATCCTGCTTATTTTGTAACTTTGCTTTTGAAGGATTTCTTGTAAATAAAGTTATTATTAATAGGTGCAGGCATTCTGACGCTTGCACAGCTATCACATAGGGAATAAAGCTTTTTAGGCATTTACTTGCTGTGGAAATTAGTAGGTAACTTCATTCAAGTGTGCACTTCGTGTATTTTTTCCCTCACTTAATATTGATTAATATAAACACTTCCTACCCTCACAACCTTTGCCGTGCCCTACAGGACTAGATGTAGAGGTGTATAAATCTGTGGGAATACACACATTTACACACCTCTGGGAGGAGAGTGCAAGGTCACTGAGCTTTTTATGTTTAAATAAAGGTAAAAAACATAGTGAGAGGTTAAATTTCAAGGTCTTGGTCCTTTTGAATTGATTTAAAATCAATCCAAAATACAGTTATTTAAGAGTTGAGAATTTTTCCCAGTCAAGTGTCCAACTTACAGTGTCGCAAATATCTCTTCATTGTTTCTGCTAAAATACATCACCTCATATCCCTTATAAATAATTTATTTCATCTTGTTCTTGAAGTGCACATTCATGCTTTTAAAAATTTTTGACTGATTAGCTCCAGTTTTATTTCTTTATTTTAACCTTGGTCTCCAGCTAGTAAGGTAAAGGTGTTACATATCTGCTCTCTGAAGCCTGCAGGTACTGTAATATATGCATGTGCCTGTGCATGTCAGAGTGTGTGTGTACTCACTCACATGCAGAGCAGAGTGTTGGCTGGCCAGTGGCCAGTAGACATGGGAATTAGTAGCTGGCATTGATGGCTGATAACTGGCTATAATGAAACACCCAGGTGTAGTAGTGGCTCTGAAATCGGCCAGCAGCCCTGTCTCCAAGCCAAGTAAGGGTGGAGAGTGGAGAGTGGGCTGCTTTTAATGACATTATTACCACTAGTCACCCGCCACGCTCTCCACTGCCATGCATCATTACCTGAGCCCCAGCCCATTCCCCCATTGCCCTGCTTGTCCCCTCTCTCTTGTACCCAGGTGGCAGGGACACAAGGACGCAGATGGTTGTCACACAACATGTCAAATCCCCCACCAAGACAATATACATTCCACAGCTGTGAGGCCTCATTTCTGGGCTCTAATTACTGACCCAGTCCTCCTCTCTCCTTCAGGGCCCTCCACACCTCCTGAGGAGCTGCAGCTGAGTGCTCTGGACTCCTCCTCTGTGCTGGCGAGCTGGCGCCCTCCGCTGGAGCCTAACGGTATCATCGTCAGCTACAGGATCTTGTTCAGTGGCAACCTCAGCCAGCCTGAGCACTTGTGGGAGAACCTCTCTCAGGATGGTGGGTGTTGGCTGGCATGACACGATTCCTCTTCACTGCACTGAAAACAGTTAATCAATGAACTTTTGGCACCTGTTTTATTCAGTTAAAGCATAACTTACCCCTTTATCCCTATAATATTGTTTAATATTTAATAATATTCAATGCCTGAGCGAAACTGTGTGATTAATAGTGGGCTTTGACCCCCTCTTTCTTTTTCAGGGAGCATTACCAGTGTGGAGGTCCAGGGTTTATCCGGGGGCACCCGTTACTTTTTTAAGCTGGGAGCATCTACTGAGGTGGGGCCAGGGCCTTATACACCTGTAAAGGATGTTCACACACCCCATCAGAAATATGGTATGTGTCAAATAGCACATATATTCAGTTCAATGCAATTCGATTCAATTCAATTTGATTCAATCCAATTCCATTTTATTGTCATTGTTAATAAATACGACAAAATTCAATGAAAAAAATGGCGGCACATATACAGGTGACAGTAAAAATAAGAAATTTGGTCACAGTCGTTTTAAAATCAATGGAAAGAGTAGTCATGGTTGTGGTAGTAGAGGCAGTAGTTCAGGAGAGTGAGGTTAAATCTGTGAATGGAAACTGACATCAGAAGGAGTGAGGCAGTGGCAGTCTCAATGTCACTAGGGTGTAAGATGCTTAATGAGAGAGGGACAACCCTAATCACTTTACTAAGGGCAGAGGCATTAATTAAGGGGAATACTTAAGTGATATCACATAATTAATTGATGATTATTATTCCAACAACGTGACTACTAATTTTAGGTTTTGACTTTCAGTGCATAGGAAAGGGAGGTAACATAAATAATTTCTGGTTTCTGTTCCTTATTTTAATCCCTATATTTGCACCAGAAGTTTTCATGCTCTGACATACAGTACAGGCCAAAAGTTTGGACACACCTTCTCATTCAATGCATTTTCTTTATTTTCATGACTATTTACATTGTAGATTCTCACTGAAGGCATCAAAACTATGAACGAACACATGTGGAGTTATGTACTTAACAAAAAAAGGTGAAATAACTGAAAACATGTTTTATATTCTAGTTTCTTCAAAATAGCCACCCTTTGCTCTGATTACTGCTTTGCACACTCTTGGCATTCTCTCCATGAGCTTCAAGAGGTAGTCACCTGAAATGGTTTTCCAACAGTCTTGAAGGAGTTCCCAGAGGTGTTTAGCACTTGTTGGCCCCTTTGCCTTCACTCTGCGGTCCAGCTCACCCCAAACCATCTCGATTGGGTTCAGGTCCGGTGACTGTGGAGGCCAGGTCATCTGCCGCAGCACTCCATCACTCTCCTTCTTGGTCAAATAGCCCTTACACAGCCTGGAGGTGTGTTTGGGGTCATTGTCCTGTTGAAAAATAAATGATCGTCCAACTAAACGCAAACCGGATGGGATGGCATGTCGCTGCAGGATGCTGTGGTAGCCATGCTGGTTCAGTGTGCCTTCAGTTTTGAATAAATCCCCAACAGTGTCACCAGCAAAACACCCCCACACCATCACACCTCCTCCTCCATGCTTCACAGTGGGAACCAGGCATGTGGAATCCATCCGTTCACCTTTTCTGAGTCTCACAAAGACACGGCGGTTGGAACCAAAGATCTCAAATTTGGACTCATCAGACCAAAGCACAGATTTCAACTGGTCTAATGTCCATTCCTTGTGTTTCTTGGCCCAAACAAATCTCTTCTGCTTGTTGCCTCTCCTTAGCAGTGGTTTCCTAGCAGCTATTTGACCATGAAGGCCTGATTGGCGCAGTCTCCTCTTAACAGTTGTTCTAGAGATGGGTCTGCTGCTAGAACTCTGTGTGGCATTCATCTGGTCTCTGATCTGAGCTGCTGTTAACTTGCCATTTCTGAGGCTGGTGACTCGGATGAACTTATCCTCAGAAGCAGAGGTGACTCTTGGTCTTCCTTTCCTGGGTCGGTCCTCATGTGTGCCAGTTTCATTGTAGCGCTTGAGAATGCCAAGAGTGTGCAAAGCAGTAATCAGAGCAAAGGGTGGCTATTTTGAAGAAACTAGAATATAAAACATGTTTTCAGTTATTTCACCTTTTTTTGTTAAGTACATAACTCCACATGTGTTCATTCATAAATTTGATGCCTTCAGTGAGAATCTACAATGTAAATAGTCATGAAAATAAAGAAAACGCATTGAATGAGAAGGTGTGTCCAAACTTTTGGCCTGTACTGTAAGTAGAGATTAGGGGGGGAGGCACACCTTCCACTCAATGCACTTGAATGGAAGGTGTCCCCCTTACTTTCTTCCCTCACTGATAACAACACGAAAAGTGCAGGAGACTTACATAAAATTAAAGACATTTACACCATAACTCCCCCACCCCAGGTTCAAACCAGGAACCCTCTTGCTGTGAGACAAAGCTAACCACTGCGTTGCCCTACTCCATATGTGTATCTCCCAATTTTGAAATAAAACCTATGCCCTTGTGTTCTGAAAAGCAGATATGGAAGCAAATAATTCACGATAATTTAAATTGAAATTCAGAACCCACTGAATACTTTACCTTGAAATTTAATCAGTATTGATTAAATTCAAAATCAGGTTTTTGAAACTGCATCACTTTTTTAACCTTCTGGATATTTCAAAGAGCAGAATCCAAACCACACAACTTAGGTGATTATTTTGAAAGTTAAATAATTCAGCACTATAAATTCTGCAGTATTTTGATTTCAATGCAAAGTATTCAGAAGTGGTGGTTAAATTTCACAGATAGATATTCGGTTGCCTCTAAGATTCATAATATTATGGTCATTTTTGCATCCGTAAGCACTCCACAAATTCTCTCTCTCTCTCTCTCTCTCTCTCTCTCTCTCACACACACACACACACACACACACACACAGACCGTTTCCTATTAAAGTGGGTAATTTGTCCTGGCCAGCGGAGAAAGTGGAGCTCAGCAGGACACTGTTATTTCGCCTCTCCTACTCTGGTGCATTTTGAGGACAATATTAAGTGTGGATATCAAAGGGGCAGCCTCATCAGCGACCCCCAGGGGAGATCTTTGAATTACTGCTCTCTGTGCCTTGCAGACTTGCTGTGAAAAGCAATTTCTTTACTCTCATGTCACTTTGTGTTTAAGCATGCAATCTCATTATACACTTTTTAATTCGATCAGTCAGCACTTTAGCTTTGACTGTAATTATTAAATGCCCCTTTTGTCTTTAAACAGAGGGAGTCATAAATACTGAACTATTATGTGAACCACCAGCAATAAAAACAAGTGTACAGTTTAGTTTAAGCATTTAACTTCTCTCTCTTCATGCTCCTATTTAACTCTTTGGTGCAAATTTGATGGGAATTGATTGTCAAAAGGATCAAATATCTGGAATATCCCAACATTAAACCTCAATTCAATAAGCAGTGGAAATGCATTTTTGTTGTACCCAAATCCTTAATAAGGCAGAGTAACAGGTTTATTTTGTTCACATAGGCTGTAATAGTGTTGCCAATATGCAGTGTGAATGGGAGTGAGGTGGCTGGTGGGTGGGTGAGAGCTCCTGCCATCTGTTTCCTCTCCTCTCAATGTCCAGACTGCCAAAGACACCCAGCATAAATGAATATCAATGAAGGTCTGCTGTCCCTCCTTGAGTGTTGCCTCATATCTCTTCACTATACTGTAACTTTGCCTTAAATGAAGGAATCAATATGCAGAGTGCATTTACATCAGACCCTGGCCAAATAGTATTTCAATCCAGATATGTTATTATAATTCTTAATATTTTCTTAAGCTGGAGCTCTAGATATGAGCCAAAGCTCCTGGCAACAGATCACACATGAAAAGCAATATGGCAGATATTTCTGGGAGTGGCGACATTTCAGCCATGTGCCAACTTGGATTGCTGTTTACATTAATTCTTACGTTTTTTTCCCCTCCTATTCCGTGTTGTGTGATATTTTAACAGAGCTGGACATCCACGCAGTGACAGGCATCATAGTCGGTGTGTGTCTGGGACTGATATGCATCCTCCTTTGCATGTGTTTCAGCTTTCGAAATGGCAAATCCAGGTGAGGTAACTCTACAGTGTCAGCACTTGTCCAGTACCTAAGCACATTTTAGTTTTTTGACTTGCATGGAACAACTGCTGTAAAAAAAGAGAGCCAGCTAAAACAACCCAGGCAACTGTACTATGTTTAGTCTTGTATTGTGCCCAACTCCTATACTATCCCTTTCATTTCTCCTCCAAACAGAGAGGTGTCTGGGGGCTTGGACTCCACAGCTGTGACCCCTCAGTACAGGCGAGGAGGTTGCCCCGTTCCCTCCAAAGTGCCAGAGTGCAGCGATAGCCACGAGCTAGAGACACTGATGCCCCCAGGCAGCCAAGAGTCTGGTCAGCAGCTAGAAGAGGCCCCAGAGGAGCAGAGCCTGATGGCAAGTGCTAATCCAGGGGAAGGGGAGGATGCCCCTGCACCTGAACCCAAGGTCAAAACCTGCAGGGGGGGGGGGTCTTCTCCAGATGGGCCTTGGATACTCTTATTTTTCACGTGTTGAAAGAGGGATAATAGTTGTAATTTTGGTGCATTCCACTGTCTTGCAGGCTGCTTGGAATGGCTCTGTGAGTCATAACTGGGCCAACAGAATCACTAGATACAGAGACACCATAACAGAAGACTCTCCAACACTCATTAATGGAGCTCTCAACATGCTAATTACTGATAATGGCACGGTAAATAAATTACCTAAATTCAATGACTAATATATTTTAGCTATCGACTTGTCTTTGAAGAGCAACTCTAGCTGTAGCATCACTGGATCAAATGGCATTTCCAAGTGACTGTTTGCTAAACCACGCCCGCCTTAGTTACTGTTGCTGTGACTTTCAAGCATTCTGTTCTTGCATGGCACTATGAAGTTCCCAAGGAGCAGATTAACCACTTGAAATTTACAGTGATATTTTTTAAACAATAGCTCCCTGATATCAGAAAGAGGTTAACAAAAGTAGGGTTTCTCATTTCTGGCTGCTGAACATCAGTTCTGCTGGCTGAAATGAGAATCATCACTGGCAGATTTTATCAGTTATAGCTAGCTGGCTAACTAGGCTAAGGCTAACTTCATGTATTGATTGAAAATGCTGTCTTCAGAAGACTTTTTAATATTTCCAGCTGACCGGTTTAAAACAAAAACTCTGTAAGGCATTCTTAAACATGCACTTGATGGCTAAATATATGATGCTGCGCTGAAGACAGAGGCTAAAGTTGCATATCACAGGCAAAAAGTCAGCTTAAAGTCAACATAATGCTATATCAATTAATAAAACTTTCCTAAATCCAATAGAGCACACCAGGGTGAGAATGTTAGTTAGCATCACCCTGGTTCTCGTCAAAAAGTCAAAAGGCCATTTTTCCATTTAATTTTGGATTACTGCAGAACAGCTGTGTGGCAAACAAAGGTTTATGATACTTTTGTGTTGTGTTCAGCAAGATAATCTTCACCAATCAATACCACTTCAATGACTTTCTAGCCTAAATGCAATTGCCAGAATTAAAAAGCGAACATTAGGTTGTAAACAGACTACACCACAATCGCATTACTTAACATCCCTAGCCGCTTGTTGGCAACCAAGTTTTTAAAGACACATAAAAACTTCCAAGTTCAAGAGTGGGGTATTCACTGAAGTATTTTATGCTGAAGAACGAAATGAAAAAAAAAAACCCATTCAAAAACCCCACTTTGAGACAAGGGAACTGGGAGTGCTCTATATAGAGCGAATGTATATAATGGCATATTACCTTTAGAACCAGTATGCAACTCGTACACATATATATACCTAACGTTTAGATCTGTTAAGCGTTTCCACTGCAGATGGTACTCCTAAATGGAGGCAGGGTTCTTACCAGATTGTAATAGCCATATCACTGCTCCATCCAGCCCTTGTTATATTTCCTTTTCATGGGCAATGCACAAGAATGTCTGCACCTCTCTGATTGTCCACACAATGGGGTTGCAGGCCAACATTTTCAGTACAAAAGAGAACAGGCTGGAGTCTATACAGTCACAATCAATGGGATTTTTAAAGATATTGGGTTTGTGGTTTGTGCATTGAGTCCTTGTAGAGCAAGAGTGATGATTCTCTCTTGACTAATAAAGGGACTGCAGGGTTTTTATCTTCACCCTCTAGTATCGGATTAGTGTGCTATGTATCTCAACAGAGGATGTAATGGAATGGATGGTTCCATTGGTACATCCACAACTTCTCACAATGGAAACACAGAAATATCAATTTTAATGTTTAATCAACTAAACTGGACTGAATAGGACTGTAAGGTGGAAATGAGGCTTCAGTTTAGTTATGTGCTCCTTGGCCCTGGCAGTAACACTAACTACAGTATGCAGTGAGCTTGTTACCCTGACATGCTAACAGCTGAAGCATTGTGTTAGAGTGGATAACAATAAACTTTTGCTCTTCATTTTTGAAAGGGGAAAAACACACACCACTCACCTTTAACATGTGAAAAAATTCAGAACTTGACAGGCCAGGTATTTACTAAGCTATGATTGGCCCATTGCTGTCTGGGGGAGGGGTTTAGCAAACAGTCTACTGTGGTGATTACTGATATTGCAACATGTTCTCATCCCAACTCATCATATATTGCAGCTTTTTCAGTGGCCTTTCACGTCTAAATTAAACACGCTAGGTAGCCTCCTGTGTCTCTTGTTGATGTTTTAGGACGGCGTGTCAATTTACGCTTGTTACATGCATTGTGTCTTTTCAAAATACACCTCTGTTTTCATAGGAAATGCACATTCTGCTCATGTAAAACATCTTGTTTTTATGTTTATTTCCTTGTGTAACAAAAGCACATGGTTAAAAACATCATGGTTTGGCTCAACCATCAAACTGGAAGTGAGCAGCGAGCTCCTGGGTGAAAGTCCAAGGTTTGTTGGACCCATCTACCTCCCGTCCTGCTCGCTCTATAGGGACTTTCCAGCTCCTTACAATACATTTTTACCAGTGGTGTTTCAAACAGACACTGTCTGATGGTGTCACACACTGCCACCCAGTGGCGCATCATACCACTGCGACAGATGCCGTTTTGCATCAGTGTCTGGCGCCAAAATCACTGACAAAGCAGCTGCATTTGATGAGTTTGGAATGAGAACGGGCTGGATATCTATGTATAATGCTCATCATACTCTAAGGATGTGTACTAAGGGGTGTTCCTTTTAAAGCTGTTCAATTTACATGTTGCTAACCCAAAAAATATTGAATGTTTGAGTAACGTGATACAACAACTTGAAGTAACAGTGACATTGTTTTGTTGCAGGACTTAGAAGATTGTCTGTGTACATCGGTGTGCAGTAACCAGGTGGAGGCAGAAGTCATTGTTCACTCAGAGCTGTCAGACCCAGGACGGGTGAAAGAGGAGGAGGAGGGCAGTGACAGTGAGAAGGATTCTAACACCACCAGGGGACCCTCATTATCAGAGGACAGATATTCCCCTCTGAGTCAGCCAAGCCCACCAGGAGAGGGGGACACTCTCGAAGAACTCTCATTGGCCCAAAGCCCCACGAGTCTTTCCTTGATGAAGTTGGTGGCTAATCACAACGGGGAGCTACAGGGCACAGGAGACCAGTTGAGCGCAGACATAGAGGCGCAGCATGACATGGGGCTTACCAATGGCTTCCACTCCCCAAAGACCATGCGTTCTGCACTGAGGTCAGAGCATCTGGAGAACGGGGACTCCAGACACTGCCCTTCGGCACCAGGGAAGGCCATCTCTGCTGGGCTGTCCCCTGCCCCCTTTGTCAGCTCCGGCCTTGTCCACTCTACCTCAGCAGCACACAGTTATCTGTGCCCGTAGCCCCTGCATGTAGGGCATCGACCCTTACACACACATACAGACATCTGACTGATTTTTGTTCTTTTACGTACCCAGGAAGAATCCCTAAGGATTATTTTTATGCACCTCATTACTGGTTTCCTTTCTCGTCCTTGCAAAGTTTTTATAGGTACTTAGAATCCATTGTTTCATACGTGTGTGTATATACAGTACACATATACAGTATATTTTTAGTGGTTGAGTACTGTATATGGGTATGCATTCTCAAGCATTGCAACCATATTTTCCTCTGGGGTTTTATTCCTGTCTGTGGGAAAGAAAGAAAAGAAAGATTTAACTTAACCAAGCAGATGGAAGTGGATTGAAGGAGGCTATTCCCACTGTGTCGCACATGGCTCTGCTCCACTCAGGAATGAGAAAGCCTGGAATGTTCTGTGAGTGAGCGAGACAGGCTATCATCATGGATGGGAGGATAGGGAACACAGGCTCAAATGATCTCCCTGGGTTTCGTTGTGTGGATGCTACTTTACCATGGCACTGAGGAATAAGCCTTAAAGAGTATCTGCACACTCTGAGAGTGCAGAACACCTGTGTCTCTCTCCAGCCTCCTGCTGTCTCAGGGTCCACACATACACACATACACTCTGAAACACACACACACAGGAAGCTAAGGTACAGCTGATTCCATGGTATCTCACAGAAACTCAAATGGTCACCCATAAACACACATTTACACACACATATCCTGACTGGAGTGTGGGGGTCTCAGGTGCCTAATTATTGTAGGTGCGTTTATAACCTCTGTATATTTCTATAGATGATTCTATTAAGTACAAGTACAAAACACATGTCAACATGGAGGAAAAAACCCTTAAAATGTAAAAAGATATGGATTATACAGATTTGGTACACATGAAGTATTCTTCTCCAAAATGCTATATATCCAGGTGGAGTGGTTTTGTAAAGCAGGGACACTCAGCTGAAAAGTAAAAAGTGGTTTTGCTGTATTTCAGATGGTGGATATAGCATTTTGGAATCAAAGTATTTACATGTTTATGTTGGTATTGGTTTAATTATGTTGGTGGGAGAACCAGCAAAAATGTTACAACAACCCATCTGTAGACCTAATTGATTTGGCTCCCAGTTAGGGATGCACCATACTGTGCTCTTGGTTGTCAATTTTAATTAAGTATAATAATTTTCTTAAGTGAAAGACTTTTTTTAACTGGAGGGGAATTCAACTTGACTCTAGAAGTCTGTCTAATCCTGGCAGAATGAAAAAATATTCCACGACACGATACTCTGCTACAGTACCAGAAACCAACAAAAGCTGACTTGAAATTTTTTAATGTATCTGATAGGAAATAGGTTTAATAAGAAAATAAAATAAATGTTCTCCTTTTTTTTTTTTTACACTGATCCAAAACATATTCTTTAAGTATTCAATCAGATTGTTTTCCATAATTGACTAATATGTAAAGCAGAGTGAGTCAGTATTGGTTTTGGCAGTGTAAAGCGGAACTGGTGCATCCCTACTCCTTATCAACAACACTACCTCATTTCTTTTCAGGATGGTTTCCAGTGTGGTTTTATTAGTTTTATGTAACTAGCACCTTTTAAAGGTCTTTTTCTTTCTTTTTTTTTTTTTTTTACAGTCTTTGGTATTTGCAGAAATAATCGTCCGACACTGACTGTACGTTCTTGTGTTATGTCAAAGGAATTCATGATGCTTTAATGCATTGCAGCTTCCTCTCATATCTCTAAAATACTGTGTCACTCAGTACAATATTACTGTTAAATCTCAACAGAAAACATAAACACCCAGTGTCTTTGATATGAAGCACCTTAAACTAGGTTCAACCAATTTCATCCAATTACAGTTTTGGATGCTGATTTCCAGTCAAACGAGTGCCACCTATGGGCAAGGAAAGTAATAGCTCCTGTAAATTGACATTTATGCCACCTGCCGGCAATGAGTGTTACTGTTAATTTTTTTTAATGGTTTTTACAGATTCGGAGTGAATGTGTCTGCTTTGAAAGTTTTATAAAGCACATTAAAATAATTCCTTTTTTTTTTTAGCTAACATGTAACACACAATGTAAAACTAAAAAGTAAAATCCTGGTCACACCAGAAACAGCAGTTCCATTGAAATGAATCACTAATGTAGAGTTTAACTTCAGCGAGGTTTGATATGTGAATTTGCACCATTAACCAATAACAAGCCGTCAGTGCTCACCTTTGCGCCTCGTTTCCACTTACGTATGTGACTGATGTCCGTAGATCCGTAAATACACGGGTGATGCCTCTAGTGTCCAACGAAAGGAAGTGCATTTCTTTACGGATGGATAGAAACCTGATAGAAACCTAAGGCTAATTTTGTCCGGTTTTTGCCATCCAGTAGTTTGGAATATCTGCTTGGAGCATTACCGGGACATTTTTTTTAGCATGTTTTGAGAAATATTAAAGTAAAAAGACGTATGAACGGCTCAATGAGTCATAATGACAATCTGACTGTATGTATAACCATATTTTAGCAGAATAATGCTACTCAGATTTACAATGTGTTAAAACTATAAACAAGTTATTTTTAATCATAAAAACTCACTTGACAATCAACAAAGGCAACTGAATTGAAGAAAACAGCCTGTTAGTCAGTTAGCAGCCTGTTAGCTAGCACACTGTAATACGGTCTCTTTCAAATCCACTGCAAAAGTTTAATTTTTTTAACTTACCTGAGGCAGATTCGAGACTGAAATATTATGGTGGGGAGTTTCGCAGGCACATCAGATATCGCAGAGATTTCCGTAGGAATGAATGGACAGTTGCCTCGTCTTCATACACATACCTAAGTGAAACGAGGCGGTAAGGGGATGGAGATTTACTACCTCCTCTGTTGAAGTGAAAACAAAATAGCAATGGTTAGCAGAGAGTAATGAGACAGGAGTGAATGGTCCAAATATGTCATTTATATAAACTGTGTGAACTTGTTCTTTTACCAACTGAGCAAAGCTACAAGGCTAGCTAACTAAGCTTGTTAGCTCAGAAAGCTTTGTTTTCCCTCATCATTAACTTTATTGAGCAAAACATTGTGCAGTGGTGAACAAAGTGCCAGGGTGAAGTAAACAGAACAGAAGAGGAGATATTGTGACTGACCAGTGCTGGACCAGCTGGGCAAGCTACTATGTTAAGAGTTAGCTCGCTATCCACATGGATGTATAAAGAAAACTGGGTATTGTGTCAGATGTTGCACAATGGTGCATCAAGCCAAAAAAAAAATTATTTCTGGGTATAAAATTACCTGGATCTTTTGCATCAATAGGGCATAGAGCAAGCACACCAGACTTCCTCCGTCAGAGCAGCTAACTTCCAGTTTAGCCCTTGGCTAACTTGAATGGGGATAAAATTATTTAATCACAAGGCTCTTGTAGACTTTCAAAATGTTTTCAGACTGAATGGATCAAATCCTGATAGTGAAAAGAGTCATTTTGCAGGGGTTGTGTTCGCTGTTTATTCCGTTAAAGAATACTATGACAAAAAATGTTGGTCAAAGACATTTTCTTCCATGACAAAGACAAGACATTGACAAGCTAAAAACAGATATTTGAAATTATAATAATTAAAATTATGACAAAGGTATGTTCTCATGACGAGACGAGACGAGACGACATGAAAATGTTCATGGTGGGCTATCTGAAAATGAGAAGAGAGGAGAAACTTATTAGTAAAAACTGTTTTTAAAGTCAAAGTCCGAGAATGGCTGTTACTTGCATTTATTTTCTTGTGCCGTAGCATTATGAGATAGGACCGCTGAAGGCCTTGTATACTCCGGCAAATAGTCAGTGCCAGGATGTTTAACTAACCAGCAAAACATTAGTGCGAGTTGTGAGCTGTAATTAGGCAGTAAATAAGCAGCCAAGTATGTCTGACTGTGGATGGTGGAACTGTTGAATGGTTTTGTGGAGTTTGTTGGTGCAGCAGCGGCTGTTAGCCTGACAGGCAAGTAGAAGGCTTGTTAAAAGTTTTTATCACTGACTCTTCCAGCGGCCATGAGTCTAAACCTCCAGACAAACATTTTGCAGGTTTAAGAAGAATTCTGGCTGAAGTAAAGTTTTTTTTTCAGCCTTTTAACAGTAGATCAATAAGTTGGCAGGTGGCAGAAGTGTTAGAAATACAGTAGCTTTACCATTCTTTGCCCATAGGAGGCGATACTCATGAGTAAGAGTGAGTTTGTGAGTATATTACAAGCTGGTTTCATGAGGTGCTTCACATCAAACAGACTATTTTAAAGATGACTACACTACACCTAAACTCATTTCGCTTGTGATGGAAAGAAAGGATGAGGGTATGCCTACTCTGTATGAGTGTGATATAAACTGTAGATGAAACCCATACATCTGTATGATTCTGAGATAATGGCAAGTTTGCCAAGGTTGGGATTAGTTTATTAAAAACAGTAATAATAATAACAATAATAAATATTCACTTTAGATTAACATAATTAAGCAGAGCATTGAGTCCAGCCCTCTTGTATATCATCCTCTCTCAGGTGGCTTCCTTCTAGTCATCCAGCAGTGAGAAGGGAGTGGATACTCCACTTCTATTCTGCCCAAGTTTCTACCAATGTCCATGCAAGTGTCAAACTCTCACCAGCTCAACTCAGCCACATCAGCAACAGAAATGTAAATGGTTCCTCATAACATGTATGAAACACCCTGAACATGTTTCTCACCAACATAATAGTGTTTTCTCTAAAACTTATATTGTTCTTGACTTTCCGAACAAAATGCATGGTTGGTACCTCAAAGAAAATTATTTTTTTTAGCCTTGCCATGTATGTATACTTAACATCACAACAAGATGAACATGTTTTTGCAGCAGTAGCAGTCATATAGGGACAGAAGTGAATGTGTTTTTAGCAAACCTGGGTCAAACATTAACTGCAACATCTTTTGGGGGTGAATAAGTGGGGTTTGCCACATCAGGAAAATTCAGATTTTAACAGCTGTCAGTTACAGAAATTTTTATTAATACCTTCTCATTAGACTAAAATGTATGGCACCCACTGTAACGTGCTATTTGGCAAACCTCACTTAAATAGTACTTAAAGAGCAATTTAACATCAAGCTCACCTATGGCAGGAAACTGCTGCTGCACCTCTCAACTCATCAATCTAAAGTGACAAGTGTGTTTTACTTGTGGCCCCATTCCAATTAGGGGTGCCAGAACATGTTGCCATCAGCTGTTAAAACACTTGCTGTGACATCATTTTGGTTAGAATTTAAATGTATAGAAAGCTGTGCAGCCGCGGCTTTCCGGCCCTGTGGTTTGATGATCATTTGTCCTTTATATGCAGTAAGCTCAAGCAAACCACCAAAATGTGTATATTTTTGATTCAGTTTCTTTACTGATACTGTTCTATATTGATGCCGTTTCTTGTTATCCTTAAAAAGCCTGTGTGTCCTGAGTGCAGAAAGAAGCATAATATTCTCAAAAGCATTCCAGTTTGATATCTTAAACATACCTCTCTCAGTCCAGGTCAGCCATGATAATGAACCTTAAGAGGAGAAGTGCTAAAACCTTAGACTGTGTTCCTGCTCTGAAAGGTTTAATGAAGACCTTGGTTCAGTTATCCATTCACTACACCATTTGCAGATACTGAAGCCTGAGCTGCAGTGTTTGCAAAACTGCTTGGACTACGACCAAGTGCATGGAGGTCACTGAACCAGAGCCTTTACAGGAATACTTCACCTGCAAAATGACCATCTGTATAACATTTACCTTGAATTCATGAAGAACAAATTCTTTCCCCATGCTTTCAAAGAAGACGAAGAATCCAAAAAAGGCGAACATTCTTCGTAAATCGAAATAAGCAGGGACTTCATTTAACAACAGCAGCTATATCAAAACATCTTTTTACAAACTCTCACATAACTCCTGCAGTATGATCCAAGTCTCAGTTCTTCAGTCGTACACTCAGTGCTTTCCAAAACATGCATTTTTGCTAAAACATTTAAAAAAATGTCAGTACAAATGGTCCTGCTACTGGGTCATGTGTGGCTTGCACAGAGCTCATACCGCTATTTGTAGGCAGAAGTGTTTTATACAACACATTCTTACTCCGACCTCATCAAATATAAACGTTTTGGTCATGGACTTTCCACGTCCACATAGGACATGCAAGGTACCCTGGGTGCGTTGGTAGTTAACTCTCTTGGGACACCGTGTTAAGTTCTGCCTGTTACATGCTTTGTCTTCATTCAAGATACACTTCTGTTATCACAGGAAATTTACATCAGTACAACACCAAAAATTTACGTTTTTTTGTCGTTCAACAACAAACACATGGTTGGGTTGAACAAAACCACATGGTTAGGTTTAAGAAACAAAAACACGTGGTTGGGTTTAGGAATAAAGAACAAGGTTTGGCAGTCTGGGTTTTTGGGTTTAGAATCATATGGGACGTGAACACTGCTCTCTCGATTCAAAGTCAGTGTTTGTTGGACCCATCGACCACCCCTCCCGCCCCACTTGGACTTTCACAGCCTTAACTACAAGGGTAACCGGCCAATGAAAGGACACCTTTTTTTGTCAGTTTCTGAAGCCACAAGTCACTGCCCAAGTGCCGGATTTAGACAACTTCGGAGTGTGACCAGGCTCTTTTATATTGTAATGTTTTAGTGAAAATGCAGGTGTTTGGGAAGTACTGAGCATACGACTGGATAAATGAGACTTGGATTATACTGCACGAGTTGTGTTAATGTTTGCAAATAGATGTTTTTATATAGTTTTGCTGGTAGTAAATGTGGACCCCAATAAGGAATTAAGGAAGAACGTTAGCCTTTTTTGGATTTTCCCATGGAGGCATGCTAGAATAACAAAGATGTCTTAAATTCAACATGACAGTGCAGTGAGTAATTGATATACAAATGGTCATTTTGCGGGTGACATATTCCTTTAAGATAGTCTTTTAAGTAAGTTGTCCGTCACTGTGACAAAAATGAAATTCACCTTTCAAACATTTTCTTGTTTGGAATACAGTGTTTGTGAAGTAGTCTCTCACCCGACATAGCAATTTTCAAAAGAAAATAACACAAATGTGTTTTTTTGTTTGGTTATGTTTAATTTTTTTTGTAGATATATTTCTTAGTGGATGCAAAGCAACCATTAGCTTACATTTAGCAGTGGTTCATCCCTCCATGATAGAGAGTATTCAAAGACACATTGTGACAAAGTCTCTATTGTCACTGTGGACAGTCCACAGCCATTTGGCAATAAAGCAGACTAACATAAAGTACAGATTATTTGCTGTGATGCTTTTCTGCCCAGTAATTCTCTACACCACTACAACAATTTGTCCTAAATGACATTTAACAGACTGACTGAAACTGATTTGTGCCAGCGACTTGCAGTATTTGGATGTAATTCAGTTAAAAAGAAGTTGGATTTTATGATAACTGCCAAAATCTTATGTAGAATCTCTCATTGAAATGGTCCAGTGTACAGTAGATGGTTCATTTTAGTAACACAGTATTTAAAACTAGGGGTTTCATAAATATTTCAGTCATATCCAGCTGTTTTGCCTTTGTTTCAAGTCTTGATGCAGAAGTGGATTATTATGGTGTGTGGAGCCGACACAGAGGGTCTGAAATGGGGATAAGCATAAAACCTGCCTCCAGCATAAAGGATATATGCTCTCCTTATAGGACCTCTATTAACTCTTTTAACCACTATCTTTTAAAACATGTTATTTTTATCCTATTGTTCGTCTCTTTGTTGGCTAGAACAATCAGATTGTTTTTGTGGAGGATACGTACTCATACTCTCATTTTGTTGAGATGATAATTTCTTTGATAATTTTGTTCATTTCATCCTCTTTTATAAGGGTTTTATTAAACAGTATACCTCATGTTGGTAACTTGTTGATTTGATTCTGATCAGTTTCTTGATACTGCACATTTTGTAACGAGTAGAACATATATACCGTACGTTAAGCATCTGGTTGTTTTGTGAGTCAAGAGAGGACAGAATCGACTGTTTCGTTTTACCTCAGTCAAAAGTTTTTACTCAGTGGCCTGGATGGTCCAGTCTAGTGGTGAAGGGGTGAACAAATGAGGGGAGGAGGGGTCAGTGGAAGAAATCTGGATTGACTTTTGGTATTCTGCAATAGTAGTTGCTTTTTAAAGAGTTTAAATCATGGGTTCACTCGAACGGTACTCATGCTTCAAACAAAAATCAAGGGAGAGAAAGATAAAAAGTGTCTGCTTCTGCTGAGTAACAGCCTAGCAGACACTTTTTGGTAGAACTCCTCCACTTTAACACAACCCAGGCAACTGAAGTACTAAGCAGGAAGAAGGGCTAAAGGGATATCCTCCCCGGGCAGGTCATACCTCTCAGTGCAGACAGCCATTTCGAAATAATTGTCTCTTCTCAGGTGCCCCATCTTTGCATAAAATTGTAGAGGATCATGCCAGCATATTCAACTCAGATACATGTCATTTGTTGTCAAACAATGCCTCATTTTGTTCTTTTGGAAAGCAAATCAAGGAAACTCTTATGCATAAATGATATTTTGTTTTGTACAAATCACGCAGTGTATTTCTGTCTCTCTGGCTTTTCTCTGTACATTCTGGTGCTTCGGTGGTGAGCTGCTTTGTCCAGTGATGTCACATTGTGCATATTTTGTACGTCTTCTCTAGTTTTGTGTATACCAGCTCAGTCGTGCTTCTCAGAATGTGTAAGCACAGACTCTGTGGTCATGTGCCACCAGCGACGTTCTGCAGCTACTCAGACACCTTTGTAATCATTGTGTGCTGAAAAAGACCTCATCCATGTCAAAGGACGCTACTGTAGGAGCAAATAGTAGAAGCACTTAATAGATTAGCACTTCTTCTTGGGCCATGAGCAACTTTGGACTGTCATCTTTACATTTTTAGAAGTGCAATTTTCTTAGTCTGTAAAACGACAGATGGATTACTCAGTGTTAGTCATGGCGACTGTAGTCATGATTTGTGATAGAAACATTGCTTGTTCAGAGGTACCATCACAGGATAGGTAGTACTTGTGGTTTGTAGAAATATTTCCACTGTGTTACCATATGTGAAAATGTCAAATCTCACAGCAACTCTCAAGATGTCTGTGGAAACTACTCTTCTGTAAATAAACATCAAAGAAAGAAGCAAATAAGGCTCAGTGGATTTTTTTATGCCTCTGCACTGTCAACAGATGCATTATGTTTTCGGGTTGTCTGTCCTTTAGTTGGGCTGTCTCATTCTCGTGAACGCAACATCTCAAGAATGTCTTGAGGCCATTTCCTCAAACTTGGCAAAAACATTTACTTGGACTTAGGGATGAACTGATTAGGATGATGAGCTGTCAGGATGGCCAAGCGGTCAAAGGTGCTGCGTTCAGGTCACAGTCTCCCCTGGAGGCGTGGGTTCAAATCCCACTTCTGACAGATAACTTTTGGGGGTGGCAATAGCTTAGTCCATAGGGACTTGGCTTGGGAACTGGAGAATGGCCGTTTCAAGCTCCCGTCTGGACCAAATATATGGAGTGTGGACTGGTAGCTGGAGAGATGCCAGTTTACCTCCTGGGCACTGCTGAGTTGCCCTTGAGTAAGGCACCGTACTCCCCAACCGCTCGGGGTCCCCTCATTCTGACATCTCTCCATTTAATGCATCCTGTTTGTGCATGTGTGTGTGTGTGTGTATTTCGGGCCTGTGTGTATATGTACAGTATATGACAACAGAGTGAAAAGATTGAATTTCCCCCTTGGGGATTAATAAAGTATATAAAATTAAAAGTAGAATTTGGTGGTTTAAGGTTAAAGGTCAGGGTCAGTGTAAAGTCACAAAACATGTTTTTGGTCATAGCTCAAGAATTCAAATGCTGATTACGACAAAATCTCAGGCAAATGTCCAACAGGATAAAATACTGAAGTGATGACATCCATTAATTTTCCATAACCAATTACCCTGGTACAGGGTCGTGGGACAGCTGGACATTTGGTCAGATACTGAATTATTTAATAATTATTAATGCCAGGGGGAAGATGTGTGTCCATGTTGTGATGTAAACTGTAGCTGCAACTTGACTGGTTCGCAGAGGCATATAACTGTGAGGCAGTAATTCTACATTTAACTTAAACCAGACTCTTCTTTCTTCAGCCTAACTTTAATTTTCCTTTCTATTACTTTTGTCTCCAAAGATTTATCAGTCAATTTAACTCCCTGTGTGACTGCTTTTCCTGACATTTACGTTCCCAAAAATGACATTTAAGATGCCAGGGTGCTTGGCTTCTTGGGTTACTTCTTGTCATATTCCAATCATTTTGACCTTTATGTTATAACTCAGGGTATGATGCTTTGTGTTGTGTTGGTTTTCATTCATAGATTAAAGTTAATCACTCCTTCTTAACTGTGGGAACAGCCCTGCAGATGATTTAATGTATGTAAAAGTACTGGAATGAACAAAAAGACCATGTACTGTATGTGCTCAAGTATTTCACCTCTAAAGCACATACTGTGTACTGTATAATGAAACACTGACCAGTCAGTCATATTAGCTTTGTTTTAGTTACGTTGTTACCACTCATATTTGATTGTCTTAATAAGAGGTACATATATATAACTGCAATGTCACTTAAAAGTCCAGTGTGTAAGATTTAGGGGGAATTAGTGGCATCTAGAGGTGAGGACTGCAGATTGCAACCAACTAAATTGTCTGGTTAGAATTCCTTCAGCTCTCATTGTTCAGGAGGTTTTTACCAGGAGCTGAATTATCCACAGAGGTCTCTTCCTCTCCAAAACAAATGGACACAGCAATTTAAACTGACAATAACACTGAATAAATCAGTATCATGTTACAAATCAGTATTTTTCCCAAGTTGTTTAGCTTGCGGCCACTAGCCCAGCACCTGCTAATGTGTGCTCACTTTTTTTTTCTGATAACTTACAATCCAGATGTTTAGGAGATTTTTACCAGTAGCCGAATTATCTCCAGAGGTCTCTTCCTCTCCAAAACAAACTGACCTGGTGATTTAAACTGTTAAAAACACTGAATTAAGCAATTTCATGTTAAAAAATAACTGTTTTTCTGACACTACTCATTGCAAAGGGGCTGCTAACTACAGTGGCCAAAGCAAAAACCTGAATGGCCCTATCTAGAGCAGGTGTTTTGTCTGTTCTGAGCCACTGTAGAAACATGGCAGAGCAACATGGTGGACTCCATGGATGAAGACCAGTTCCCTAAATAAACAGCTCATTCTAAGGTAACAAAAACACCAAGATTGTTATTTTCAGGTGATTATATGCTAAACAAAACACACTTATTACATTCCATTTCTCCCAATATATCCCTCTAAAGCCAACACACTGGACCTTTAATGCAAAAATCGGACAGCTTGGGAAGTTTGCTTATTTGCTTTCTTGCAGAGAATAAGGATACCACTCACATGCAGTAAATTCATAACTACAGCTCGCACAGTTAGCTTAGCCAGCAAGACTCAAGGAAGTCAGCTGTAAAACTATAAATTATTGTTTTAACATTTCAGCTTTTGTACAGATCAAACAAAAGAAATGAAACATGTTAATTGTGAGCTTTGGAAGTGCTGGTAAGCACATTATATTACCTCTGAACAACAGAGGACAGAAATATCATAGGCTAGCTGTTCCCACTGTACCAGTCTTTAGTTTATGCTAAGCTAATCAGCTAACCAGCAGCTGCCTGTAGCCTACTACATATTTAACACACAAAAATGAGCATGGTATCATCTTCTATTGTTAAATGCTGTGACTCATATGACTATAATATAGCCTAGGGAACTGTTCACTGCATTTAATCATATTCAAATAATATCATTTAACCCTACGAACAATCAGTAGTGTGCCATTTAAACTGCATAATATATGTATAAGAAAATACTGGAAAAAGAGAAACCGAATTAAGTTACTTTTTCTTATTTCCACTACCCTATTTACACAAAATATGTTGTCTCTAGGGCCTGGGCAACAGAGAAATAAATCCAGCATAATAAAAGCCTGCCCTCCAGCTCCCCTTTGGGCACACACATCAGCCAGGTAACGTGCCCTCTGTTGCTTTGTGCCCCACCCTTTTCACACCAGCAGAGCCTCTGGGTAATAATCAGTCATACTTAAAGGTGTTATTTTTCCATAAACCACCAGGGGGCAGTGTGATCCTTCTTAATGATTCTTGGGAAGAAGCACAGTAACCTGGTGCCACTCCCATTAGGAGAGATTGCTGCCTTAGTGTTGGATCTCATGTGCTGCGCTGACCTCATACCTGCCTTGGCTGCAGGATTGTCTAAATGTGTAGAGTACTGCATATTCCCTCCATACTTATTAAAATACATTACCTCAAGAGGAGTGAAAAAATAGAAGTATATTAAAGAATTTCTCCATTACACCAATTTCCCCTCAAAAAACTCAATCCTAGCATCATGAGCATCATAATCACCATTATGTGTCTGTGTGTGTCCATTTGTGTCTTCTGTCAGTCTGGCAGTGCTTCTGCTTGTGTGTTCTTGCATGTGTGTGTGTGTATGAATGGAGTGGGTGGGTCTGAGTATGTTTATGTGTGAACAGGGGAGGCAGACAGACTGGAAAAAAAAGACAGGAGAGGGAGGTGATGGAGATAAGAGGGTGAGATGAGGGCACAGAGTTAAGACAGGAGCAGTGAGGCGACATCACATGGCAGAATCCCCAGAAGAGTTAGATAAAAGCTCTCGCTGAGCGACAGAGGGGTCGGGCTCACTATCTTCAGCCACTCATCACCGTTAATCAGAGGGCGAGGCTCCTATGCAGAGGTCTGAGAGAGGACACATATGCACAAACCCACACATGACCACACAATATCACACACGAGCATATAGACAAACACAAACACACATGCATGCATTCTCATACTTCACTGAAGCTGCCGATGCACCTGTCTGAATGTGTAATGTGTACTGTTATCGTGTGCATTGTGTTCAGGCCCTCCAGCAGCAGAGGAGTGGTCTCGGGCTAGTTCAGCATGCCTCATATTTCACTGGAGAGGCAGGCAAGTGGAGCACAGTGAGTCAGGTGAGGGCTGGACTCATGAGGTACAGCTCACTGCCTGTGGGGAAATAACTGTGCGAGCCTCTTGAATCAGCCCATTCATTCTGCCTCTTCCTGCTTCTGCAACTGTAGTAGTGTACTACTACAGTCTCCACCTTCAGCGTCAGCTCTGCTTGTTTCACCACTGAACTGTATGTGCTCTCTGACAGTTCAAAGCGTACAGTGGAAGAACCCCTGGGTTGGCAAGTATTTGCAAATCATTTTTTTGTGCTTGTGGAAACTGGGGATTCTACTATCCAGTTAGCAACAACGCATAAAGGAAAATCAAATTCAAAACTCCAGGAGCAGAAATACCAGAAAGTAGAGAGCTTCTATGCCTAGAAAGTATCTATCAAGTACAAATGGATGTTTACTTATTTGTGATGTGACATTTCGACCACAGTAACGCACCATGAGATCTCAATGATTTCATGTTTTTTTTATGCAGTATTTGTAAAACAGCCATCCAGTTTATGCATCATAAAACATCATCCTGACACTTCTAAACTGTCTGTTCATCATGGTAAAATCAATGTTGTCCTCTGTATAGGTTAAAACAAGGTCTTATGTGCAAATGTTACAGTTTATTTACCTTTGGATATTGGCTCATTCAATTTCAACTAAAAGCATTATATTGACTGCTTCCCTTCACTTCGACTATTCCTACTTTACACCCCCATAAAAAAGCTACTAGTGTTGTGGTTTGTGTAGGTGTACGACATGTGGTGATGACATCATGATTAAAGCTCTGGCGCATGACCCTAGCTGAAAGTCATTCCATCTCTGCTGCCTTTTCTGTGGTTTGCCTTTTGAGTTTCCCTCCAGACAGGTTTTTAAGTATATCAAAATACTCTAATATGTTTAATAATTTGATTTAAAAAATTACTTGTGCTAGGTTTCGCTTTTTACTTTCTCCAACATGGACAAAGCAGAGCAGTGCGCACCAAGATGTAGCATTAAGGGAAAATTCTGAGTGTTCCTGTCATACATGTTTGAGCCTCAGTCAGACCCAGACCCAGATGAGTAATCTGTTGTGCAACAAAGCCGGTTACCAGTGTATGTATCAGAATGGTAAGTGTATTTAGCATCTGTTATTTGCTTATGTTGTTGACACAGGATTAGTGGTTGTGAAACATAAAATAATACTGGTATTGTGTATTTATTTTTACCAGGTCTAATCAAAGTTTGCAGAAAGATACATACATTTCATCTGGTTGAGATTTTTATATTGTGTGTAATAAATCTGCTCTGAGCTGGAGGTTTCAGGTTTCTTCACCTTTGCATATTAAATGAGATTTATTCTGTGTTGAATTCGTGCTCTAAGCGCAGGCTGTGGCGCTAGATGTGTATCCAATTC